GTGGAAAAAAGCTTAAGCTCTGTAATAAAATTAGGAAAGGACTTGACAAAAAAGTGGGATCGGAATAATATTGTTTATAAATTTAATTGTAATAGTTGCCCTGCAACATATATTGGTGAATCAAAGCGTACTTTGAAAAAAAGAATTAGCGAGCATAAAAACAAAAACCTCGAATCCGTTGTGAACAAACATCAAACTGAATATAATCATTCTTTTAATTTTGACGATGCAGAAATTTTAGATTATGAAACTTCTTATAAAAAACGATTAATTTCTGAGATGATTTATATTAAATGCAATAATTTTACTATTAACAAGAAGGAAGATATACAGTTTCTTAGTAATTCCTATTTTCCTTTGCTTAATAAATTGAAATAATGGTTATAATTCATAATATTTCGATTGCGGGTCATTGACCCCATCGACTGTATATAACGCGAAAATTGTCACCGGCTCAGTCAGTTTGACTAATCACTCGTTTTAATATGTTTGTGATTTGTAAATTTAAATATTTTATTTTTTTGTTGTATTGCGTTTATTTATGTTTTTAATTTATTGACGTGATGTTTATTTATTGACTTTAACTAGGTAAAAATTGTTTTTTATTTTTTGTTTAAATTTAAATTTTCAAAATTTTGTTGTATTAATTTTTTTTAAAAAAATTTTTCTATTAAAGTGACCTGATGATGGTGGCGAACCTGACCACCGAAACGTCGTCTATTTTATAAAAAAGTAAAAGAGTGTTTTTCTTTTACCTTTTATATACGTCTTCCAAAAATCGAAAAAATTAATTTATTAAATAACTGTGGAAGAATTTACTAAATATTTAATTATAAATTTATTTTAGATTTTTCTAAGGTATATATTTTTTTTATTTATTTATTAAACAATTTTATTTTTTGAGATATGTATATTTTCGAAAATTTATAAACAGTAGTTAATGAACTGATCGTATATTTTTGAATTTAAAATTTTTTTAAATTCAAAATGAATTGAAAATTAGAAAAGTGAATAAAATGAGAATTTTACAATAAAAAAAAATTGCGAATATACAGGTTTAGTTAAAAGATAATTACAAATTAAAATAACAATAAGTTTTAAGTAAACAATTGTTTTTATTTAAATAATAGTTCATTTTTACTTTCGATATAGTATTTATATACGAAGTTATCAAATTATTAATATTTATTTATTTACCTACTTATTTATTGAATTACAATAATATAATATGACAACAATTTGTTCAAATTATTTTTTAAACTATATAATATTTTGTTTGAAAAATCTTTAATAATCATTTATTTATTTATAATAATTAAATAGAGAATGTATTATTTATAAACAATTTTGAATGTAAATATATCATTTTTTTAGCTCTGTAAAAAATTTTTAATACAATTTTGTTCAGTAAATAAAAATAAATTGAACAAATTATATTTTTTACTTGTGTCCATGTTTTGTGAAATTTCGATCATAAATATTCCTTAGTTAGTTTAATTATTAGCTGATTATTAATTATTAATTGATTATTAGCTCATTAACCACTGTTTCTCAGTTTTTGGAAGAATGTCAGTTGTCTGATTTTAAATTACATTAAACTTTCAAAATATTTTAGCCATAGTTTGCCAGCCTTTATCCCCATTTTCCTATACTTGGCTATCATAGTTTCATTTCCACACGGGAAATTCATTATACATCGAAATATTATTAATATATTTTGCATTATACATTAAAATATTATTAATATATTATTCCTTATATATTAAAATATTATTAAAATATTATTAAAATATTATTAATATATTATTCAATAGACATTAATACACGAAACTAAACAGCTTCACTGTACACAAAATTAGCAGCTTTATATTTTATAGCATAAATAGAATCAATTTGTTTCTCACTAGATCTCATTCCAAAGCATCGCACAAAAAACAGCTTTCTGTAGTTATTCATCCTATTTTTATTTAAATATCAATTGTCACTCTTGGCTTATTCGAGAATTTAAATCATTTATTGAAAATAATATTAATCCATTAACTTCGAAGGAATAACATTGTAATTTTTATTTTATATATTTAATTATTTATTTATTTGTTTATTTTTTAAAAAGCTCTTGACGCGAATAGTCGAATGGGTCTTAGAAATGAATTTCCACTATATTATTCAAATCGTATTTGTTTCTTTCCAACTCTTAAACTTCTGACAAATTATAAATATTGTTAAATTATAATACCCTCTTCTCGTTTTGTGCCCTGAACAATTTTTGAAATTTAAAAAAATAAAACCCATTTTTGGTAGTAAAAAATATATTTCGTTTTGGAAATAAAAAATTGTTTTGATAATGACAAAATTTTAATTAAATTCTTCCCAACATTTAAAAACAAAATCGGAAAGTTTTAAAAAAAAGTTAATTGAAAATTAAAATAATTGAACCAAACCTGGTGCATGAATATTTTCTAAAAGACCATCAAAATTATATTACCGAAAATTTTTGTAAATACAAAATTACCTGCACGCATATAAATTTTAATTATCACTGACAACTATTTTTATCAATGCTAATTAACCGAAAAAAATTATTTTTTTATATTTCTCATTATTTATTTAATTTTTAATAGGGGAGAGTGGTCCTAAGTTGGCCACCCTGAATTTCTCAGAGATGGTATACTGGACGAATCTATAATTTTGTGGTATGATGTATTGATAAACCATGATATTATTAATTTATGGTCCTAATTATAATCTAAGATTCTTCTACGCATTGTGAGGACAATAATATTGTTTACAACCAAACAAATTTAATTTTTCTTGTTTTTTCGAGAGCAGCTACAAGAGATAAATAATTAAAAATTTGTAAATGAGTGTGTGCGCTAGTTCCTTTATTTAATGTTGTAATAAGAGGTTATGTTGATTTTTTAATTGAATTTTTTTATTAGCGTAATAATTTGAAACTTGTAAAAATCTACAGTGGTCCTAAGTTGGCCACCTATTGTTTTTGTTTGTTTTTATTTATGTTTTACTTCTTTTTTGTGTTTTTCTAATCAAAAATAGTTAAATAATACGTTTTTATTCTCCTAAATGTATCAAATTTGTAAAATTTCTGCGTAATTGAAAAGAATATGCATTTCTTCCTTATACACCAGCGAAAAAAAGTGGTGGCCAACTTAGGACCGCTATTTCTGAAATGTCCAAAATGCAGCTTTTCACTATTTATTGTATTAAGACTACAAAAGCCATTCTATAAAGTTCCAAATACCACAAAATTATAGCAAAACGATCTCTGAACACTAATATTAATTTCATTTTGTTACCATTTTCGACCAATTTGCTTAGGCGGCCAACTTAGGACCACTCTCCCCTATGAATTATCAATTTTTCTTAAACAGACCCAAAATTTTCTTATATTTTTATACTGCATAAAAAATTGTAAATAAGATTATTTTTACTAGAATTTTACACTTAGAATTTTACACTTTAAATTATACACTTTCGTAAGAAAATTCTCCTTTAATAAAATTCGATCTACTGGAAGTGAAATTTTAGGGAATATTCATGCTAAATATTAGTTTTGTAATAAAATCAAAATTTTTTAAATATTTTACAGAAAAAAACGTTGTCACTCACAATATAGTCTATTTATCTTTAGATTATTACTAATAATAAGTTTTATGATAGTAAAATTTAATTTGGATTTTGTCCTTCATTTTTATTATTAATCTGTAATTTTCACTGACAGTTCGATTTTTACTTTGAATAAAATTCTAATTAAATAAAATTAAAATCAAATGACAATGAAAATCTAAAAAAAAATCAAAGTCAAAAAAATGAAAACTAAAAAAATATTACACAAAGTTTTTTTTCAAAATTCAGCCAGAAAAGATATTATTTTTTCAAAATTATTTCTTTATTGAATATTATTATTATCGAATCTTTAAAATGAAATTAGTGAAATTTATTTATTAAATGCATTCAGTCATTAATAATTGTGTGAATAAAATTAAAATTCTAAAAATTTAAATTAAAAAATTGTTAGTATTAAAACTTGAGATGAATAGTATATTTTTGTGAGTCTACAAAAAATTTCTTATTTTCAAAAAATTAAGTTAAATTAAATTCAAATGTTGTATAAAAATAAATCATGTAATGATTTAAAAACGTGAACGTGATTAATTAACAATTTTCATAATTTTCACAGTTATTTTTCAATTTTTTGTTTATTGTCAAGTAATATGATTTTGATATTTGACGATGATATCTGGCACCTAGTATAATCTGCATGTGTCAGATAAGTATTTATAGCAAAAACAAATGATTATACTTTTATTAAAAGAAATTATTTTTATTTAAACAAATTATTTTGGTATTAATAAAAATTTCTTTTCTATAAACACTTACTTTTCTATAAAAAATTACTGTTCTATAAAAAAATACTTTTCTATAAAAAGAATTATTTTTCTATAAAAAATATTTTTCTATAAAAAAAAATTACTATTCTATAAAAAATACTTTTCTATAAAAAATTAGTTTACTATAAACAAATTTCCTTTTCTATAGAAAAATTCCTTTTCTATAAAAAAAATACTTTTCTACTAAAAAACTTACTTTCGTGTTTCGTATAAAGAAAAATTACTTTTTTATTTAAAAAAAAATGTTTTTTATATCAATAAGAGTTACATTTTGATTTAAAAAAATGTAGTATCAATAAAAATTACTTTCATATTAAAAGAAATTTTTTGTATCAATAAAAATTTCTTTTTGTATTAAAAAATTATTTTTGTACACAAATAATTTTTGTTACTAAAAAAACTGTTTTTTATATTAAAAAATTATTTTCTTTTATTAAAAAAAATACTTTTTCCATAAAAGAAAGAGAAAATGAGAATAAAGTCAGGAGGCTGACAGATTATGATGTGTTCCACGATCGTAATTTGAATAATTCGAAGTCACTCAACGATTTAATAATTAACTTCCTTTTTTCTGTTTCTTCAACACTCTAGTTGTTCAGGATTAGGCCTCTGCCAGTGTTAGTAAGTACCACCACTTGCTCTGGTGTGATTTGACTGCTGTAGTTAGAAGGCTATGCGTTTTACGTCTATATAACTTCCTCTCCTCTCAACCCATTTTTTTTTAAACTTCCTATTTCCTTTATCTTCAATTTAAGAATCTTTTTTCCGTTCTCTTTATCCCTTGACGTCGTCTACGCTCCTTAAGTAAAAAATATGGAATAAAGAAAAAGAGTAAAATTAAAAAAAAAAAAAAATTTGTAAAAGTGGAAAATTCTCGGAATATACTTTCTCTATCGAATTGTTCTCAGTCTACACTCGGAGATATATTTCAAAAAAGAATATTATTTATTTAAAAAAAAAAACATTTTTTATAACTTCTTTGAATTGAAGAAAAAGTTATTTATTTATTTATTTTTTTTTTTGGAAATGAACATTTTTCATATTTACGTATTTAATAAATTGATAGAATAATATTATAGTTTATGTTCAAACACTTCATTCTAAACATTTTTTCACTTAAATTATAATTGCAAAAAATATTTTAAAATTTTTGAATTTAAGAGACAAAAATTCTTCTTCTGCTAAGAATAAAACTATACTTTCTTTTTATTAAAAAAGATTATTTCTATTTATGAAAGAAAAACTGGTTTTACGTTTGAGAAAAAAAACTGTTCTTTACATTCAAAAAGATAAAAAAAATGTTTAAACTAAGAAAAAAATTTTGAGAAATTTCTTTCAAATCAATAGAAATTTTTTTCTGAAGACAAGTAGACAGAGAAAAAAGTACAATTTATTAGATTAATAATTTCTTCTAGTCCGTGTTTTTTTTTTCTTTCTTTTAACAGAACCAAGAAAATTCATTCATTAAATTTATTTTCAGTTACTACCTACTGTCGAAAAAAAAATGAAATAAAAATTATTACTATTGTGAAAATAAAAATAAAATTTTTTTTAAGAAACTATCAGGATGGGAACTACTATTGAAACATGTAGGCTTGAAAAATAAAATAATAATTTTTGTGATAATAATAATAATAATAATAATAATAATAATAATAATAATAATAATAATAATAATAATAATAATAATAATAAAAATAATAATAATAATAATTTTTGTAGAATTCACTAAAATAAACTCTTTTTGACGTTTCACTTGCTAATAAAAGAAATTTAAAGAAATTTAAATTATTAATATTTAATAATTAATAGTTTATTTTTATAATTACTTCTTGGATTAAATTAAAAAAATTAAATTTAATTGCTTCAACATATTTATTTATTTACTTATTTTATTCACTTTATTAATATAATTATTGTTGATAACAATAATTGTTATTATTTTTATTATTATTCGTTAATAATTCGTTATTTTTAAATTAATAAATTTCTGCAAAAATTTCAATTATATTTTGTTTCTCATCATCAAGAATTTTATTGCGTGTGAAAATGGTGAAAATGATTATAAATATAAATCCTGTTTTTCCCAATTTTCCTTTATACTAAAAACCAAAAAAAAAAAATATATATATATAAAATGAAATGAATCAACCTTTATTTTCGGCCTTTGTTCGAAACGTTATATGTAATCCATTGTTGTACTAAAATAAAAAATATGTTTTTGAAAACAATTTTGTAAATTCCAGTAATTAATATATTTCACCCAAATCTCCGATAAAAATGAATGTGGACTTGAAAACAATTTGTAATTTCAAATATGAAATTAATATACACATTTATATATCGCCCCTAACAAAAAATTTCTCCATTAAGAATATTGTTACTAATTCAAATAATAATAATAAAAAATATGTTGTGCTGACAAAAAAAAATTTTTTTTTTTGTGTGTGTATATAAACTGCGTGTGATGTTATAATTATTGTATTCTTGTGAATAATTAATGTAAGCCTGGATGCTGCATATTATTCTGGATTTTTATTACAAATTATCACATTTTAATTCAATAATGTCAATAATTAATAATATTAATAATAATTTAATAAAAAAATTGCTTGTCTATTATCAAATAAATATTTATTTGTTACAATTTTAATTATATCACTTAAATTTGCTTCAAATACTGAAATTAATACTTTCAAGTAAATATTTAATTGATAATAGACAAGTAATTTGTTCTTTCAATCAATTGAATTTTTTTCATTAAATGTATATATTTATATACAAACATTGAAAAAAAAATATTTGATAAAACCGATTGTTTGTCTATTGTCAAATAAATAGTTACTTGCGCTAAACAATTTTTATTTCAATAAATGGTATTTGCTTCAAAGTTCAAATACTAAAATTATTGGTTCAAATATAATTTTTTTGACTTTTAGAAAATTTATTTGATTCAAGTAATAATTTATTCGACTCGAAAAATATTTATTCGATTCAAGGTAAATATTTATTCGATTCAGGTAAATATTTCTTTGATTCCGGTAAATATTTATTTGATAATTAATTTGTACATATCGTACTTAAAAGTGCTAGAACTTAAATTCTGAAAATTAAAAAATATTTATTATTATTTATACACACGTGTATAAATTGTTCGACGAGGACACAGCCAGGCTCTATTGGGAACCGAATTCGGCCCCATTGGACCGAAATTGAACAAATAGACGAAAAATTGTCTCCACAGTCCTGTTCAAATGTTAACACAATTAAAAATTGATAAATAATAATAAATATTAATATAATAGAAATAAATATTGTATAATATTTATTTACACGTGCAACTTGCGTATATATTATATGAATGAATAAATAAATATTAGAGTTTGAAACTAATGAATATTGTAATTTGTAAACAGATAAATAAGGCATCTGGGTATGTTCTCCATTATTTCTTTACATTGTATATTCATCTAATGTAATTTATTTTCATTATTTAGAAATTTTATTGAAAAATATTTTTGAAAATTTTTTTTTTCTTTTAAATTGTTAAAGCTTGTTAGGATTTCGAGAGTTTTCTACTAAAGTATTTTAAATTTACAATGAAATGCTTCATTGTGAATTCTGTTTGTCTTTTAACTATGGTTTTACTCCTCTTCCTCTCTATCTCTATCTCTTTTCTTCTTCTTTCTTTCTCTTTAACACACTCTCTTAATATTCTGCTCTAATTGGCACGTGAATTAATTTTTAATTTTTATGTTTCTTTATTTATTTCGTTTGACGATATTTTAGTGGTGTGTAATTTATTTTGAATTGAAATTTTATTATTGTAGTGCGTGATGTTTGATGTTAGATTTATTATTAGTTCAATAGCAGTAAGTCAAATTAAGGCTGTGATAGTAAATGTTTTGTTTTATTATACTTTATAATTTTTAAAGTTGAAAAATAATTTGCGAATAATTAATTTTCTTCTCTGTATTAAAAAAAAAAAATTCTTATCAATAGTTTGCTGGATAATAAAATTTTTAATTTTTGAATATTTAAATTATCTGCTGGCAGTGATAATGAAATGTAACACGCTAATGAGCAGTTTTATAATTTTACAATAATTGGAAATAAAAAATGCGGAAATACTTTTTTTGTACTTTTTTTATTAATAAATATGATAATATTTTATTTTTGTGTTTTTTTTCAAATAAAAAATGTTACTTTTTATTTTTGTGTTTTAATAAAAAATGGTGATACATTTTTTAATTAATTTTTATATTAACAAAAAATGGGAAAATCTTTTATTTTCGTATTTTTTGTTAATAAAAGAAAATGGTCATACTTTTTTTATGTTCTGTTTAAAAAAAGTGGTAATACTTCTTTACTCGTGTCTTTTTGTTAATGAAAATAAGTATTACTTTTTTATTTTTGTTTTTTGAAATAAAAATCCTAATACTTTTTTATTATTTTGTATCTTAACAAAAAAGTGAAATAAAAAAATTAATAAACGAAAAATATTAAATACTTTTACGATTTATTTAGGACATTTGTTTTTTCTGTTAATAAATTTTACTATTTTTCATTTTCCTGTTTATAAAAAATATTTATTTTGGAAAAATTATTATTTTTATTTGAAAAATTTGTTTATTTTGAAACAATGCAAATATTTGTCTTTGCATTTATAAAAATATATTGCTTCTTTACGTAAAATTTAATATTTTATTTTTTTTAACTCAACAACAATGAAAGACAAAAATTCTATTGAAGTTGAAAATTCAATTTATTTTGTCTATTACATTTTTTTGGCTATTTTGCAGAATATTTTTCTTTAAGATATAGTAGAAATTCTTTTTTAAATTTCTTAATTTATCTCGCGATTCTTCGCTTAGTTTTTGTTTCTACATTGTTTAGAAAATTAGAATTATTTTTTCTCATTTTTGACACTCTTGTGACACGCATAACGCAAAACATTTTAATTACATTTTCACATACTCAGCTTATGTATACACATATGAGAAAGTATTTTTTATTAAAAATTATAATTCAAAATTAATTGAAAAATAATTTTGATTCAAAATTATTCGAAAAATAATTGTGTTTCAAAATTAATTGAAATCTAATTATTATTCAAAATTATTTGAAAAATACTTATAACAATTAAAACTTTGATGACTGCGATAAAAAAATACATTTTTATGTTAAAAAAAATTTCGTTCGATGTATAAAATAAGTGCAAAACGAATACACATTACTTACAAGTAAATATTTGTAATATGTATAAAAATGTTTCTTTAAAATATTAATTCCTTGATTTTTAAAAATTTTAACAGATATTCGTTCGAGCGCAATTCGACTACGATCCATTGGACGATGAATTGATACCCTGTGCACAGGCCGGAATCGCATTTAAGACAGGCGATATTTTACAAATAATAAGTAAAGACGATCACCATTGGTGGCAGGCACGAAAAGACAACGCGGCTGGATCCGCGGGTTTAATACCATCTCCCGAATTACAGGAATGGCGAATTGCCTGTCTAGCGATGGAGAAAAATAAACAGGAACAAGGTGAGTCCTATTGTTTTTTTTATTAAATTATAAAAAAATTAATTTTTATTTTCTATTTTTTTTTTTAATTTCTCGTTAATAAACGATAAAATCACGTCTCACAGTACACAGCACGACATTATATTCACGAGCTTCATGGAGTTTATATATATACGTAATATGTATATTGAATAATGAAATAACGAAAGCAAAACTTTTTCATCCCATTAGAAGAGAAAATTTTCATAATTAAAACCTTCCTTGGGGTGAAAAAACTGTGAATTAACGCGAATTTTGAATTTTTAATGAGAATTTTTTCTATAGAGATAATCCATTAAAAAAAAGTGTCTAATTATTGGTGTACCCGGTAAAACAAACAGGAAAGTTATAGCAGACGAAAATAACTATATTTTAGAGAAAATTTATATTTATTAAGAAATATTCCAATAAGGGAAAAGATTATATATTTATGAATTTAATTATTTATTTATTTATTTAAAGTAATTTGTTTTTTCAAAGTAAATTTATTTATTCAATGTAAATAAAAGTGTTGTTTTTTTTTTTTTTGACAAATAAAATTTACAAAATTTCAAGGTATACCTATTAAATGGGAAACTTAAATTTATTTTTTTTAGCAAAGAGAGAAATGAGAGTTTCAAAACAGCGACAAATTAAATTCCAGCAGATCGCATACTTAATTTTTTCTACCAATAATAATAAATTCTTATTAAAAATAAATAAATTTAATGATTTTGAAGACATAATTTTTTGTTTACTTTAAACTTTTTTTTAACGAAAAATCTTATTATTCATTTAGTCCGTATATTTTATAAATAAACATAAAATGAGTATAATTAAACAATAAAAATAAATTAAGAAATAAATTATTAAATTTATAAAAAATTATTAATTAAATAAAAAAGCTAAGAAAACATTTCTTACTACAGATAAATTTATATTTAAAATTTGTTATTTAAAATAAAAATAACCAGAATTTCTGAATAATTTCCTTCAGCTCTAAATTATTATAAAACAAACCGAATGTCTTAATATTTTATAATTCTGCGATGTGTTCATATTATCTATTATAAAGAAAGTAATGCAGCTACTTGGAAGAATTTTTTGTACAAATATATTTAAAAAAAATAGTAATTGTGAACTAAAACTAAAAGAATAATTTTGTCCAGCATTATTTTTCGTTTAATACCTCAATATATTTGTATATATTGAACGTGAAAGAATGTCTGTTGCACATAAAATTCGCATGTGGTGTGAAATGTTTCGTATATATATTTTTTTTCTGTGAATGCTAATATATGATGATAATTTGTTCTTCACGAGAGTTTCACTGCAATGAATATAAAAAAAAATATAAAATTTACCTTTTTATTTTTATAGAAAAAGCAGAAAATATTTGTTATCTTGATTTGAGTTATTTCATAAAGAAATAACTGTTTTTTTAGAGGAGTTTTTAGGGACTGTTCAAGTATTACGTAAATATATATTTAGTTTTTTTATAACAATTATTCTCTTTTTTCTGCTAGAAAGGAACAAATATATCTAATTTTGTTCTCAGTATAGTAGTAAAGAACCGTTTTAGTCATGCTTGATATTATAACATTTTGTAAATAATAAAAATATTTAGTATTTTAGTAGAAAAAGATTTTTTATAGTAAAATAATTTAGTTTCAAACTGCTAGAAACTGTTTTGAATGTTGTTCAAAACAAACAGTAGTAGTTAAACCCTGTCTTCTCCAGACAAACTATTCGGATTCACTAAAATAAATTTTTGTAATTTTGTTATTTTCAGTAGTAAAAGAACATTTTTTGTCAGACAAACAGAAAACTACTTTATGTTTTAAAAGTAAAAGTGTCAAAAAAGAAAAAAATCAAAAGTAAAAAGTAAAAGTAGTAAATAAACAATGTAGTCACATTTGTCTAATGTCAGTAGTACAAGTCTATTTTAGTCAGACAAGAAATCAGAAATTGCTTTGTTAATATATCGTAAAAAAATTCAGTAGTAAAACCCAATTCAGGGCTCGAACCAGTGAAAGTATTTAAAAATACGGATTTTACGGACCAATAGCTGACAAAAATATAACCAGTCAGAGTCAAATGAGAGAAAACTTTACTTAAAACTAAAAATTAAATTTTTCATAACTATGTATGAAACATGAACTCACTCAGAGTGATCGATTTCTTCATGTTTTATAATAATTAAAGATGACCCAGTGATAAAATTATTATTTTCAAGAATTTTTAACTGAAATTCTTCTAATCGATTATTTTTAATAATTTTCGAAAAAGTTCTTTGACAATTTTCAAATCCATTTGTTTACAATATTCAATTTCACGAGATTTCAATTATTCGTAAATTCTTCAATTAAATATATATTAGAAAATAAAAACATCAAATAATATAAAAAAAATCCGCAATTAAAATTTCTCAAAAAAAATTAATTTCACAGAATTTGTTAGTTAAAAATATGAAAAATTCTAATTTTCAAAGATTTTAATCTGAAACCTTTTCAAAATTCAATTATCTCTAACCCCATGGTTTTAATATTCAATTATAATCTAAAATTTTAACTGAAATCCGTTTTTAAATTAATTTTTATTTGAAAATTCAATCAGAATTCAATTATTTAAATACAAAAAAAAACAATTTATTGAATAATTGCATGTTTCTTAAAACTGAATTCTCATAAAGAATTGTATCAATAAATTTTTAAATAATTGAATTCTTTTGACGAATTTTAATAAAATTTTTAAGAATAATTATATTTTTTCGAGGAATTCAATTAAAATTGTATTAAAAATAATTGAAATTCTGCAATGAGTTTTATTATTTATGAAAATAATTGAATTCCTAATAAGAATTTTATTATTTACCAAAATAATTGAATCCCTGTAAAAATTTAATTATTTATGAAAGTAATTAAATAATTGCGAAGAGATTTATAAAAAAATTTTTAAATAATGAAATTCCTGTGAAATTTTTATTATTTTTGGAAAATAATTAAAGGTTTGTGTAGAATTTTATTAATTTTTTTTTTAAATAATAGAATTCTTTTGGAAAATTTTATCAGAATAGTAACTACGTATTAAAAATAATTAAATTGAGGAAAATTTTTAAAAATAATTGAAATTTTGACAAGAATTTTATTAAAATTTTTGAAAATAATTGAATTTCGGAGAAGAATTTAATTATTTCTAAAGATAATTAAAATTTTGACGAAAATTTTCTAAAAATTTTGAACATAATTGAATTTTTGACAAGAATTTTATTACTTTTGAAAATAATTGAATTCCTGCAATCATTTGTAATTTCTTTAAAATTATCCAAATTATATCGTACAATTTACGGACTCTACGAACCTTTTTTTTAAAAAAACGGACTTTTACGAAATAAGTAATGTTTTCTTGAAAAAAGGACTTTAAGCTAAGTTACGGACTTCTACGGGATTTACGAAGCTAGTTCGAGCCCTACCATTTCTATAACCAGACAAACAATTAATAATTGAAAATAAGTTTAGAATTTATTATTATCAGTAGTAAAACACAAATTTAGTCAGAAAATATGTTAAAAGTTTTTTATTTGAAAATCTTTATACAAAAGTTTCAGAAGTAATAGCTTATATTGTCAGGCTGACAAACAATTAGAATTTATACTCAACATTTTTTTAATTATTTAATATTATAATCATTATTCAATTACAATTTAATATATAATAATTATCAGCAGTATTATCCAGTTTCTAGTCACACAAACATAAAATTTGTCTGAAAATAATTTTATTGATTATATTAAAAGTAGTGAGAGGACATTTTCGTCAGACAAATCGTCAGTTACTTTAAGTTTCGTTAAAAAAATGTTATCAGTAGTAATAACTTGTTGTAGTCAGACAAGCAAGGTTAATTTACTGAAAATATGGTTAGAAATTTTCATCAGTAGTAGTAGTTTATTTTTAGGCAGGAATACAATTAAAATGTACATAATAATAACATAAATAGAAATAAAATAGAAGTAAAAAAATTTTGTTGAAAATATTGTTGTGAAATGTTTTTAGCCAGACAAAGTGTTTGAAATTGTTTTGAATTGTAGTTAAAACAACTATCAGTAGTAAAAGCCGATTTTTGGTCAGACAAACTGTTAGAAAATTTTTTGAATACCATTGAAAAACATTTCAGTAGTATTTACCTAATTTTTGGGCAGACAAACAACTAAAATTCGCCTCAAAATAACTTATTTAAATTATTATTAATAGTAAGATATCATTTTAGTCATACAAAGTAGTAATGGCTTATGTTTATTCAGACCAAGAATTATTGTTCCCGAAAAATGTATTATAACATATATAATGAATTATTAACAGTACGAAAAGACCATTTTAGTCAGACAAATTGTTGAAAATTATTTTAAACATTTGTAAAAAGTTTGGTCAGTCTTTGTTTGTTTTTAGTTTGTTTTTACTTTTTAGTTGTAATAACTAGTATATATAGTATATATTATACATAATTCGAGAATTTGTTTGAGGTCACAGATGAAATATTTAATGGTAGTTTTTGTAATCAACGTGTACGTAATACTTGAACATCGTCTTTAAAAAATAAATAAATATAAACTATTTTTATCAAATGTGAAAGAAGTTAACAATCTTTTCTTTAATAAACTAGTTTTCTTAATGGAAAATTCTGAAGTATTTTACGCTTCCGAAAAAATAATTAATAATAATTATTATTATTATTATTATTAATATTAATTATTAAAGCTTTTTTTCACTGTTAGCTTACATTTCTATTAATTCAGAGCTGAATCGAATTTCAGTGCATTAAAGAAAGCAATTATAATTATATAAAAAAAAAGTTGCAACATGATGAATAAAAAAAACAATATATTACACCTTGTATATACATAATATAATATAATTCAAAATACATGTCAGTTATACATTTTGTCAGTAAAGCATGAAATATATATCTCGATTATTCATAAAAATTGAGCATGAATGAAACGAATTTGTAAATATTTATTGCAAAAATTTTTATTATTCCATATCCGAGTCTCACTATTATATTGTTTTAGCTCCAAATTGTGAAATATTGTATATATATAAATATATATATATATATATTATTGATGTTTTTGGAAGGGAAATTTATTTGAATTCAACTGTGATTAATAGTTTATTATATTTTTTCTCCATTATTTACGAAATTTTTTTTTTACTAGAAATATAAAATTACGTATTTAAAATTTTATTAGTAAAGAATATGAATATCGTTGAGTTCAATTAAAGAAAATGTTATATTGGATTGAAGGTGGATTTTTTTCATTACCGTAATGTCAGTTTCTAATTTAATATATTTAAAAAATGAAACTAAGTATATCGATTAAAAGTAATGGAGGATTTTCAAGCATTTGGGAATTTAATGCTTTTTCTAAATTAATTTTTAATTTATCAAGTTTCGACCTACTTTTTATAGTAAAAACATAAAATACTCTTAGCTTTTATTTTAAAAGAGCTAAACTAACTGAAATATATATTTATTATGAAAAAAGCTTCTGAGAAAGCTTTAAACTTTTGTTTTAGAAAAAAAACTTCTTTTTATTTTTTTAATTTTTCTCGTTTAAATTAATTGAATACGTTTATTTATAGAATGAAAATAAAATTATAATTTAAAATATTATCGTCGACTTTGATTCAACTCTAAATCCAAGATAAACTCTAAGTCCAAGATTTTACTGGTGACATGATTGAAAAGAAAACTGAATTTCAGTATGGAAATATTATTCAACTAGTTTTCTAATGAGTAGAATTTCTTTTATATTTTCCTTTCTATTATTTTTTTTAAATTTATTTTTCAAATTTATTTTTCAAATTCATTTTTTTCATTGAAATTTAGAGGAGAGAAATAAAATATATTAAATATATTAAAAAAAGAAAAAAGTTTTTTTATTTAATAAATTTAAATGATTTTATTTTAAAAATATATTGAATACATAAAAATAATAATATATTGAAGATACAGAAATCCATACAGATATATATTCGACATTAAAAAATGTATTTTATTCAAATAAACGTTTACTTGCCTATTATTGTAATAAATATTTATTTGTATCAAATAATGTTTATTTAACTCAATTAAATGTTCTTTGTTTTAAATGCAAAAAACTCTGATTCAAATACGATTTGTGCTAAAATTACTTATTCAAATCCTATTTTTTTATTTAAATAAAAATTATTTGATTCAAGTAAATATTTATTTAATAATATAATAAACAAGGATTCGGTAATTAGAATCAAATTATTTTTTTTTCCAGTAGATAATTTAAAAAAATCTCTTAGAGATAATGAATACATTTTTTATTTTATTTTTTTTTGTTGGTTTTTTGGAAAAGTAGATAATTTTGTTTTGTAAAAATAATGAAATGTCAAAAAGACATGACGTTGTTGTATTTTGTGCGGGGCTAGACACTGAAGGAGAAGGAGGATGTTCGTCTCACACCGAAGGCTGCGATGGCTCGACAGGTACGATTCTGTCTGCAGCTGTAGAAAAAACTGCAGTCACTTAGGTTTCATTTAGAAGCATGTCTTATACACACAAAAAAAAACCTACAAGACAGAATAAACATATACCTAATTCAAAAAGAAATTTTCATTTTTATAAAGCAGAAATAAATAACAATAATGATAATAATAATTAATAAATAATGTAGGTAAATATATAATTAAAACAAGTGTTGCTTATCCTATATTTTTGTTACATTTATAAATTACAAATTATATTTTTTTTTAAAAAGTACAACATTATTTATTAATTTTTCAATTTACATGAACTTTTATTTATTTTTTTCAAATATAAAAAATTTTCACAATACATAAACGTTATATTTTTCCCGTAAACTGGGTATTTTAATAATTTTATAATATTTTTATACCTAAGTAGTTTCTTATTAATATTTTTGATTTAAAAAATTTATGAAATACAAAAGTTTGTATTCTTGTTTATATAGAGGAGGATAAATAATTATAAATTGTATACTAAAACATAGTACAAATAAAATAAATAATATAATTATTCAACTCTAATATTACATTTTTGTTTATATTTATTACTATCATTATTATAAATATAATATAATAATATAATTATAATAAATATAAATATTATTATTATAAATATAATATAATAATATAATCATAATAAATATAAATATTCTTATATAAATATAAATATAATAATAATAGTAATAATATAATATAACGATTGTTATCTATTATAATTATTATTATTATTTATAAATAATAATTAAGTAATTTTTGAGGTTTAAAAAGAAAATAATAATAATAACAAAAGTAAAGGATAGTAATGACTATTTTTTAATGCAAAATATTTGTCCTTGTAGGAAGGAAAATTTTTTTCTAGATATGAAATTTATCCCTCTCGACTTTGCTTTAGGAGCAATAAATTACATACGTTTTTATATATGTATAGGTATCTTAGGAGAATATAAACGGAATTTTTCAAATGACATTTTCCACACCGAGATTGTAAAAGTTTTTATTTTCATTTTACTTATACGTATAAAAATTATTATACTCATATAATAGTGAAAGGTGTGACAAAAATTTCTTTTTCTCTATTGACAACAATGCGAAAAGAAAAAGATAAAAAAAAAGAAAAACCGCAGAATCATAAAAATAGCAAAATATAATTGTGATTTAAGTCGGATATATATGTATAAAAAACGTAAAAATGGGATTTTTTGAAAAATTGCTATAAATATATATGTCAGCGGTATATATAGTAATTTGAGAAATGGATGGACGTGTTCACATTTCATGATACTTTTTATAATAATTATTATATACGTCTACATGAAAACAATACATCGAGAGACTGAATATGATGAAAAAGACAATAATGGTTTTTAGAAATTTCTCTCTCTCTCCCCATCGCGAGAGTGGAAAATTTCAAACTCTATAATACAAATCTGTGTGAGAGTGTAATTTTTTTGTCACAAAAAATATTTTCTTTTAATTGAAATTAAAATCAACAATATAACATTGTTGATAAATGGTAAAAAATAGGCAATTGTGAAAATGGAATAGAAAATATTTATTCTGAAAATTCTATTTTTTAAGCGGGAGTGTAAACACAACAAAAGTATACTGAATGCTTTTTCAATTTGATTTTATTTCTTCTTCCCAGATTTCAAGACAGAATTCTTTTAGTTTAAAAAATATTTAAATATTTAATTGTTATTAATTTTTACAGTAATTGAAATTTTCAACAACAACAAAAAAATACAAAAAAAAATGATATTCCAATGTTTCATATTATATTTATTTATATTTGAAAACAAATAAATATGTTAGTGCAAACATTTTTTCTGAATATATAAATTATTCAACAATTTTCATGAATAATTTTGATTCAAAGAATGTTTAATCACATTTTAAAAAAATAAACAAATTTCTGATTCTGCTGAAATGTTAAAAATTCATGAAATTTTTTTTCCGGGCGGTATAAAAATATTTATATAGACATAGGTGATAGTTGTGTATTTGCATCAATATTTTCATGAATATTTATCAACTTTCGACTGCTAATGATTAGAAAACAAAAGAAAAAAATTATTGAATGCTTCTATTAAAGTCCATGCTGATATATTTACAATGAACTATATTGTATAACTTTTTTTTATTTATATTTCTTTATATATTTTAGATCTCTTCTATACTTATATAGGTAATATATAATATATAATATTATATTATTACATTATTGCCCTAGGGCAATATTATGCCCATCTGTTAAAATATAATGGCCATTATTGCCCTAGGACAATATTATGCCCAGCTGGTAAATATAATGCCCATTATTGCCCTAGAGAAATATTATTCCTAACTGTTAAAATATAATGGCCATTATTGCCCTAGGGAAATATTATTCCCAGCTGTTTAAATAAACTGTCCATTATTGCCCTAGGGTAATAATGATTAAATAATAAAGTAATAAAGTAAGTCAATAATGTAATCTTTATTGACCTGTGAGCAAGGTTAATAAAGTGACCATTATTGCCCTAGGGCAATAATAGCCACTTTATTGACCGCTGGATTATAAGTTACTGGTTGATAGGCTGATCATAAATTGTCAGTAGATTTCATTTTACAAATGTTGGACTTTAAATAAAAATAAAATTATAAATCCAAACAAAATAACATCACGATATTTAAATAAAAAATGGGCCTAAAAAATATAACAATTTTAGGAGAAAAACTACAGTTCGGTTGTTTTAGGGGAGCAAGTTTTGAATGGAGATACCGATACAATGTTATTCATATAATTAAAATTATAATTACTATAAAAATTATAGTAATTAAATTTTTAAAATGAAAATTATAGCAAATTTATAATATATTCAATTATTATAATTATAATATATAGGATTATAAGAATTTAAAAATTATATGCATATATTATTTCTGTATATATATGTACACGCATCACTCTAAACAATAATTTAAGCTTGTTAATAGCGTAATGGTACATTGAGAAAAATTTTTTTTTTTAATTCAAAAATAAGTAGAACCAAAAAAATATATTTGAATTAAACATATTTTATGAATTGAATTAATCGTAATTTTAATTGAATCAAACTTATTATTGAATCAAAATTATTATGTTTAATTAAAAAATAATTTTTTGGTTGACAGTATAGCAAAGATAATTATTTTTGATTCTCAGTGTAATAAGTAACTTTATTTTAAGCTTCTCAGCACGAATCCTTTTTGGCAAGAGCATCATTCACGGCACTGTATTTTACCTTTCACGCATTTTGTCATGCATAAATTTCCTTTTTCATTGTTTCTTTTTTTCACGACTTGTGAACTGCTGGAATATTTTTTTTCTCTTTTTTTTTCTTTGAAAACGAGAATTCCGAGCTGCGATTTAAAAAAAAAATATTGTTAAATTTGAATTTCCTCGGTTTAAAATAAAAAAAAATTAATAATATATCAATGAATATTTGAAGAGAAATTTCAAATTTGCCTGTATAAAAAATAAAAAATAAACGATAGCTCGACTGCTCGTGTGGCTTTATACATATATAAGAAATTGCTTTTTGACATATAAATAAAAGTGGCTGTGAAACATTGATTGATTATTTCACTTATATATTATAGGTAAATGAAAAAAGCTTTCGAATCTCTCATATCCGACGTAGAACACTGTATTGATGCTGGAAGCACACTTTTCGCACTCATTTTTTTTTTGTTTTTGTATAGGGTGGAATTATAATGTTAATACTTAATTTTTTGATTTTATATTCTAGGTACCTTTCATTTCTTCTTTCAGAGCTAAGAGCTTTTTTTCTTTTATTTAATATTTAGAAAATAATATTTTATCAACTGCGTAATAATTACCTGAATACTATTTTCTGACTTTTAATTAATATTTATAATTCGAATATTATTATAATTATTAATAATAATTAAGTAATTAAACAATTAGTTAAAACATTATTGAAATGAACGATTATTAATTATTGATATTAATGTTAATGAAACAAATTATTAATAATAATACGATTTATTGTAGTGGCCGGTTGTATAAACAAGAATAATTATACTGAATATTAAATAAATATTAATATTTAATAGTTAATTAGTAGAACATTCGAATTATTAATAATAATTAATTTGTAAGTTATTTATAAACTATTATAAATTTTCGTAAGATCAAAAAAGCAGAAAATGATCTAAAAAATGAACAATTCTTATAATTGTTTTAAAAAAATAAAAGCAAGAGAAAAGAATAAACTATTTTTCATTTTAAAATAAAATTTCAGTTCTGGAAAGAGATTTTTAGTCTATATTTTTCATAATAATAATATTTTTTAATTAAATTGGAACAAAAAAGGAATAAACAATAAAATATTTTTCTAAGATTTAAAATTTTTTTGTCTAGAAATTATAATTCTAATTTGATTATATTTATAACCAATTGCTATTCTACTCTAATATTTCATCTAAAATAATTAATAATTTGTTCCGATTTTAAAATTTTGCAATAAATGTGTAATAAATTTACAGTTATAATCGTAAATATGTAAAAAAAATTTTGAAAATCTTAAAGTAATCAAAAAATTAAATTATTTATATTTGAATTAATAAATATTTTAATTTAAATATTTAAAAATTTATTCCTTATTTATAAATTGTAAATATTGAATTGAAAAGGATGTCTAATTTAATTATAATAAGTTAATTTTAATTTTTGGAGTAAATTTAAATTTAAATTTAAATAAAATGACTTTAATTTGAATTTATTTAATGTAAATCAATTTGAAAGATGAAAACTGTGTAATAGTGTTTTATTATTTTCCTTTTTTTGCAGTAAATTGCTCAATATTTGGCCGGAAGAAGAAACAATATAAAGATAAATATTTAGCGAAGCACAATGCGGTCTTCGACCAGCTGGATCTGGTTACATATGAAGAGGTCGTGAAGCTTCCCTGTGAGTATTAAATTTAATTAAATAATAATATTTTAAAAAAATAATTTTTTATTCGTGAAAAAAGGCGAGAGGAAAAAAGAAGGAAGAGACCAAAAATATAACTAATCCAAATAATAAAGGAAAAAAAATTCTCTCCTAAAGAATATTCATATTTTATGTTCGTTTCGATTAATATTGACCTCTGAACCACAAATCGTTTTTTTTTCATTTTATCAATTGACAATATTGCATATTGCCAGATTTTCTCGATAATACTTCAGTAATAAATCAAATACACTGAACCAGATTGTATATGCGCTTGCAAATAACCGAAGAATTTGACTTTATGATTCATGGGATAATATATATATGTATTATTTAAAAATAATAGGCATAAACTTTCGTGAGAGAAAAAAATTCATCGAAAATATTTTTCTATAAATTATAGAAAAATAAAAACAAAGTTTGATTTAATAGAATAATAAAAATAAAAATAAATAATAATCAATTTGTTAAATTAAAATGGAATAAATATTTTTCCAGTTAATGTGAACAATATTTTTGATTTAACACTTTGAATGATTAGAAGTTGCTTTTGGGTAAAGATTAAAAATTTCTTATAAAAATTGAAAATTACGTTAGATTAAAACTTTATTTAATTAATTTTAAGGTTTATATAATTTAAATAAAAGGAAATGATTTTTTTCTTCTTCTATCGCAAAAAATTAATAACTTTTATTAAAATGCAATTTTTTCTATTATTAAAACCGTTTTAATCAGAATTTAAATCCTATTTTTTCGGCAAATATTTAGTTAATTTTTTAATAGAAAAAGGTAAGAAGATAAAGCGCTTAGAATGTTTTAATGTCAGTAATAAAAGTTTAATATAATCAGATAAATTGTCAGAAATTTCTATCAATATTGGCAAAAATTATTAGTAGTAAACTCTTTTTCTAGCAAGACATATAATTAGAATTTCCTGAAATCAAGTTAGAAAATATTTTAAATTACGTTAAAAAAATATTTGCCAGTAGTAATGAGCTGTTTTAGTCAGACAAAAAGTGATTTTCTGAAAATATCCTAGAAAAAATTTGTTAGTAGTTTAAAGTCTTTTTAGCCAGACAAAGAGAACAAATATTTCTAATTTTGTTCTGAGCAGTAAAGAACCATTTCTGTCTGACTTGATATTATAAAATTTTGTAAATAATAAAAATATTTAGTCTTTTACAGTATTTTTATTTACAGTATTATATATTTTATTCTTTCTTACAGTATAAATTAGAAAAAAGCATGATGAAGAATTATAAATTTTTTAAATAAGTAATAAGTGGAACTGTTGGTGTATGATGTCAGTAGTTAATGACTGTTTTAGTCAGACGAAATAAGTGCTCCAAATTTTCAAATCCTGCGATATAAGTAGTAAGAATGTGTTTTAGTCAGACGGACAATTAAAATCTGCAAAAAATATTGTTATAATTTCACAACAGTAGGTAAAGGCAATTTTAGTCAGACAAATGATCAGTATTCAGAATAATGTTTATAATAATACATGTAATACTTTTAGTATAAATAGTAAAAACAACCCTTTTAAGTCAGACGTAAAATTCTAAAATTTTTCCAAAAATAATAAAACTACTTTTTGTATTAGTAGTAAAAGTGGTAAAAATAAAAAAACGAAGGTAAAAAGTAAAATCTGTAAAAAACAATATAGTCATATTTTTTAATATCAGTAGTAGAAGTCTATTTCAGTTAGACAAACAAAATTTGTTTGAAAATAATTTTATTGATTATTAAAAAAGTATTTAAAAATTATTAAAAAGTTTTTTATTATTAAAAAGTTTTGGTCAGACATACAAGGACAATTTTACTGAAAATGTAGTTATAAATTTTCATCAGTAATAGTAGTAGTTTATTTTTAGGAAGATAACATTTTCTAAAAATATTGTAGTAAAGTTTTATCAGTAGTGTAAAGTCTTTTTAGCCAGACAAGAGGAGCAAATTTATCTTATTTTCTTATAAGTCGTAAAAATTAGTAAATGCCTGTTTCAGTCACATGAAATAAAAAAGGGTCGACAATTTTCAAATCTTGCGATATAAGTAGTAAGAATGTGTTTTAGTCAGACAGACAATTAGAATTTGGAAAAAATATCGTTATAATTTCGCAACAGTAGTAAAGTACTTATTAGTTATTAATAGAAAGTATTTTGACAGTGGAATAATTTGATTAATATTTTCAATGCCAGTGGAACAAGACCTTTTCAGTCAAATAAAGTGTTTGATATTGTTTTGAATTGCTGTTAAAAAAATTTCAGTAGTAAAAGACGATTTTGGTCAGACAAACTGTTCGAAATTGTTTTAAATTGTAGTTAAAAAATTATCAGTAGTAAAAGACGATTTTAGTCAGACAAATGCTTAGGAATTATTTTTAAAATAAGGTTTAAAAATATTTGTCAGTAGATAGTAACTGATATTAGACAGACAAGCAATTATAATTTGCTGAACATTTTATTTTTAATTGCAGAAGAAATAAAAAATTTTTTTTTTTAAATATTATTTCAGAATATACAACCATTTCTTTTTCTTTACTTTGGTTTTAAGAAATGAAAAGAAGATCATATTGTGCTTCAAATTGAACTTAAAATCTCTCTGAACTTAATAATTATAGAAGTAAGTCCAAAAGTGAATTGCGTGTGATGAAATATTTTTTCTCCATTTTTGTTTACTTGTGTGCACAATTTTTTTTTGTTAATAATAAAATTAATCCAAAATAATTTTCTCATAAAATTATTAACTGAAAATTGAAAATAATAGTGTGTTTTTAATATATGATAAATAATATTATTATAAATTGTTACGTGTACAGTGTTCTCATTAATATTTTATATTACTGGTGAAATTTTGTGCTGCAAGCAAATAATTCATAATAATATAAGACTAATAAATTTTAACATCTGGATTTTACGTCATTTAAAATTATTTCGTTATTATTTCATGATGTGAGAAATATTTTATTTATAATTATTCTATATATACTTTGTTGTTATATACGTGAAATATTTTGATGTTTTCACATTTTGATACTTTGTAATATTAAATTTTATTCAAACTTTCGTATATATAATAATTAAAAAAGAAAAATACGAACCTCAATTGTTTCATTTTCTCTAATTTAGTGAAGAAAAGAACAAAGTTTTCGACAATTTAATTTTTTTTCATTTAAAAATCTTTAGAATTTGGACAATGAAACAATTGACATATATTGAAAACAAAAGTTGAGTGATTTTGAGCTTTTAAAAACTCGTTCGAGTAGGATTGGGAGTTTTTTTTTTTAAGAGTATATAAACATGATTCGACATTTGAATTTTTATTGTTTAACTTTTATTTTTAGATCCCGCCTTTCAACGGAAAACTTTGGTACTTTTGGGAGCCCATGGAGTCGGCCGTCGTCATATCAAAAACACAATAATTGCAAAGCATCCTGATAAATACGCCTATCCAATTCCACGTAAGTTTATTTTTATCTTTCAACTTTTTCCCATAAATTTCATATATGTTTCCATGAAAAATCTTTAAAAATTTTAGTACTTTTTATCTTAAAACTTGAAAAAGAATTTTTTTTGTTAAAATAAAAAAATTAACTAAATTTGAAAAATTTAATCAAAATTTAACTAAATAATAAATAAAAAGAATAAGAAATGAATAATACAAATTTTAATTAAAAAAAAAGTGGATACAAAAATTTAATGTTTTTTCTATTTATAGATACAACGAGGCCTCCACGAAACGACGAAGAAAATGGACGCAATTATTATTTCGTATCGCACGATGAAATGATGGCAGATATCGCTGCTAATGAGTACCTGGAATATGGCAAGCAAAATTTTTTTTCCAGAAATTTTAAATTAGCATTCCCTTATTAATTTTATTATTAATTGAAGTTTGTTAATTTTATTTATCTAAATAATTATTCTCAATAATTTAGAAAATTAATTTACAATGTTAAACAATGTAAAATTCGAACCGTTAAAATTTCTTTAGTTTCATTTTTTGATTATTTTTTTCAATGTTATTAAATAATGTCAAACCAAAATTTTATTAACAAAAATAATGTAATAATTTATATTTTCAAATTGTTATTTTATTTCCAAATTATTAAATTAATTAAAAGTATTTATTTAAATTTATTATTTTATTTATTTTTAGTATTATTTTTCTGTTATTAATATTTATTAGAATTACTTTATTAATTGAATTAAATTGTATTTATATAATTTAATATTTAAAAATTTTAAATATTAAATTATCTGAGATTTTTATTAACGAAAAAAAAATATTTCACAGGAACCCACGAAGACGCAATGTATGGGACGAAATTAGAAACAATAAGAAAAATTCACGAAGAGGGAAGAATGGCAATTCTTGATGTAGAACCACAAGCATTAAAAGTTTTGCGCACAGCCGAATTTGCGCCTTATGTTGTCTTCATTGCCGCGCCCGTACTTCAAAATATTGCCGACGTGAGTCTGAAGATTTTTCTGCAATTTTTTTTATTTATTTTTCTTTTCAACTTTAAACTTTTCTCGCTTTCTTGCTTTTTGTTAATTTATCGCTAAAAAAGAATATCATATAATTTTTGTTTCTAAATTTTGATACACTTCATTTTGAAAGAAAGTAATTTCTTTGGTTTATTACATTTTTTTATTTTTAACAATTTATTCCATAATATCCTACTTCTTTTAATTTATACTTAATTCATTTTTTTTACTCTTTCTGGAATTTTTCTCCATTTTTTACTTTTCCATTCTATTTAAATATATTATTAGAATATTATTAGAATAATTTCATTTTATAGTCGTATTCATTTATTATTCGAAAATCGACAATCTATTAAGCGAATAATTCATTTTATTATAAGTATAGTCGTGTTCAATCATTTTTAAAAATTTGCAAATTGTTAAAGATTTTAAAAAGTGGAAAATACAAAAAAATTTCATCTCATTATTTTCAATCACGATAATTGTCTAGTTTATTAAAATATTCCTGGGAATAATTATATAAACGGCGAAATACTAAATATAAACTGTTAACGTATGTGTATTCATTTCGTTTAATTCTGACATAAATTTGTTAACATGCATAATAATATTAGTTTACCAATTATTTCGATTTAGTGAATAATTATTGAGGTTTCCGTTAAAATCATTCTTGTTAAAGGAACGAGTAATTTGAGAATAATCTATATTATTTAAACGTTCATTATTGTTAGAGTTTTATTTAAAAATTTTAATGTTATTTTTAACAATTATAAAATAAGAATCTATGTATATTAATAATCATTTTATTCCGGTAAGCTGTTCGCAGTTTGAAATTATTTGTTGTTTGCTTTTTTCCCTAATTTTTTAAATAATTTTTCTTTTTAAGTATATTTTCAATTTTAAAATTAATGCACCTATTGAAAGTCATTGAATTCTTGCAAAGAATTTTGTCAAAAAATTTGAGAATAATTGAATTTCTTGAAAGAATTTTATTGTTTAGGAAAATAATTGAATTTTCGCAAAAAATTTTGTTAAAATTTTAAAAAATTCTAATTAAATTCTTTTTGAAGAAATTATTTGGATCTTTTTTAAATAATGCAGTTTCTTTAATAATTTTAATGAAAAATTTTGAAAATAATGAAATTTTATGGACAATCTCTTTCAAGTTTTTAAAATAATCGTGTTTGTTAATAATTGAAATTGAACATTTAATTACTCAATTTTATTAAAATTTTAGAAATAAATTGAATTCTTTTGAAAAATTTTATAATGATTTTAGAAAGAATTTGAATTTTTTCGTGAAATTTTTTTGAATATAATTGAAATTTAAAAAGAATTTTACTATTTATAAATATAATTGAATTGTTTCGAAGGATTTATTACAATTTTCGAAAATAATTGAATTTTTCGAAAAATATTATCAAAAATTTTTTAAAAATGAAATTATTTCGTGAAATTTTTTTAAAAATAATTTAATTTTTGCAAAGATTATGTAACGAATTAAGAAAAAAGTTGAATTATTTCGTGAAATTTTTTTTTAAATAATTGAATTTTTGCGAAGATTGTACTATTTAAAAAAAAATTGGCTTGTTTAGAAGCTTAAAATTTTAGAAAATAGTTGTATTCGTTCGTGAAATTTTATTAAAATTTTGTTTAAAAATAATTGAATTTTTGCAAAGAGTGTTATTATTTCTGAAACAAAAAAGAAAAATTACTTACCATTTACGGACTAATTGCTGAAAAAAATATGACCAGTCAGAGTCAAATAAGAGAACATTTTCCTTAAAACTATACATTAAATTTTTCATAACTATAAAACATGAAGATATCGATCATCGATTTCTTCATGTTTTATAATAATTAAAGTTAACCTAGTGATAAAATTATTATTTCCAAACATTTATTAACAAAATTCTTCTTAAAATCGATTATTTTTAATAACTTTCGAAAAAGTTCTTTGACAATTTTCAAATCTATTTCTTTACAATATTCAATTTTACGAAATTTCAATTATTCGTAAATTCTTCAATTAAATATATATTAGAAAATAAAAACTTCAAAAAATATAAAAAAATCCGCAATTAAAATTTCTCAAAAAAAAAATTAATCCCTCAGAATTGTTAGTTAAAAATATGAAAAATTCAAATTTTCAAAGATTTTAATCTGAAACCTTTTTAAAATTCAATTATTTCTAAAAATTTATGCTCTAATGCTTTTAATATTCAATTATTATCTAAAATTTTAACTGAAATCCATTTCTAAATTAATTTTTATTAGAAAATTCAACCAGAATTCAATTATTTAAATACAAAAAAAAACAATTTATTGAATAATTGCATGTTTCTTAAAATTGAATTCTCATAAAGAATTGTATCAATAAATTTTTAAATAATTGAATTCTTTTGACGAATTTTAATAAAATTTTTAAGAATAAATACATTTTTTCGAGGAATTCAATTAAAATTGTATTCAAAATAATTGAAATTCTGCAATGAGTTTTATTATTTATCAAAATAATTGAATTCCTAATAAGAATTTTATTATTTACCAAAATAATTGAATCCCTGTCAAAATGTTATTATTTATGAAAATAATTGAATGATTGCGAAGAGATTTATAAAAAAATTTGTAAATAATGAAATTTCTGTGAAATTTTTATTATTTTTTGAAAATAATTGAAGGTTTGTGTAGAATTTTATTAAATTTTTTTTTAAATAATTGAATTCTTTTGGAAAGTTTTATTAGAATAGTAAATACCTATTAAAAATCATTGATAATATTGAGGAAAATTTTTGAAAATAATTGAAATTTTGACAAGAATTTTATTAAAATTTTTGAAAATAATTGAATTTCGGAGAAGAATTTAATTATTTCTATAGATAATTGAAATTTTTAAAGAATTTTTAAAAATTTGTGATTTTTTCCAAGAATTTTATTACTTTTGAAAATAATTGAATTTCTACAATCATTTGTAATTTCTCTAAAATTATTCAAATTATATCCTACAATTTACTAACTTTTCATCCTTTTTGAATCAAATTACGTACTTTACAGACCTTTTTTAAAAAAACGGACTTTTACGGGATTTGCGGACCTAGTTCGAGTCCTGGAATATAAATTTCTGTTTAGGATCAAAATAATATTTTATTTTTTATTTTACTTTTTTCAAATTCAAAATAAATGGTATTTTATAATAAAAATATTGCATAGTAACTAAATTTCAATTATAGATTGAAATGAAAAATAAAACTGAAAAAAATATTTTTTTAGTACGACGGAAGCCTGGAGCGCTTAGCGAAAGAGTCGGATATGCTGAAGCAGGCGTATGGACACTTTTTCGATTTGACAATTGTAAACAACGATATCGAGGAAACAATTGCACAATTGGAGAGTGCTATTGAGCGAGTACATACAACGCCACAGTGGGTTCCAGTTTCGTGGGTCTACTGACAACGGATTTCGCCAAGTCGTTCAATTTTGACTTCCGACTGTAATGGTGCATCCAGAGGAAAGCAGTAATTCGTCAAAATGGAAAGTCCAACGACTTGTGCGCGTTGACAAGATTCGCATGGATACATCGAACGAAGGAACATCCAGGTGATTCGAGGCACGATCCTTAAGAAAAAAATAAATAAATAAACCTTAGACCAATCAAAGAAAAAAAAAATTATAAGAAAAAAGAAATGTCGTCTATGATGATGACGACACGACTCGGGTGTGATTGTGGTCGTGTGTTCATAGAGAAAAAAAGGAAAGAAAGAAAAATTTAATTAGTAGGTTTATTAATAATAATAATATGATCAAACACTAATTTTTTCCGTGTCTGGTGCAAAAAGAAAAATGATAAGAACCTAAAATATGCCTCAGAGACTCGGAAAAAAGTGATTTTTTTGTTATTTAGGAAAATCGATCTTCTTTTGTTGTCCCTATTTAATTAAAATGAATCACGAAACGACGATGGATCACACCTCTCTGCAGATCGTCGAGACTCCTTTCAGGCGAAGCAATGTGTATTTTTCCGCGTTTCGCAAAAATAATGAAGAACAAAAAAATTACTCGCACTCGGGAAAAATAGAAAAGCACTCGAATTTAGGTGGATCATGACTTATGTTTAGCAAAATTCTCGTAATATCGTCGAATTAAGAAAGGTGATTGAAAACCAAAGGACTTCTTTCGAGCAATTATATAAAAAAAAATGACGAACGCTGCCCTTATTCTATTATCTCTATTCTATAAGTCATTCCTATCCCATTACAGACTGTAAGATTTCCAAACAAAAAAAAAGTATTACCCACTGCAATAATGTCCATTAAATACTAAATCAGTCGACATCCAATTATAGAATCTAAACACTTGCTTCGTCGAATTTTTAGCGCTTCTTTTATAATTTTGCGAAATTCTTTTCTCCTAAGACTGCAATTACCAGACATTCAATTTAGTATAATTTAGTACTTAATATATTTATATATGTTTATATATTTCAATATTTTCAATTACGAAAGTTACGCCAAACTTTTAAATAACTTGAATCATTTATGATCGAAGAATATTTTTTCTTCTCTAGTCGAATTTTGAATTTCAATTAATTTTTTTCTTTTACTGCTGATTTTGAAATATAAATACTTCGGACTTTTGAAACTAATTTCCAAAAGAAAAGAAAAACAAGAAACAATAAAATTAAATTCAACGAAACTGTAAAGTCTGGTAATTTTTGTAAAAGAAAGTCTTTCACCAATCTCTTTTCTTCCTACTTCGATACAATTATAAAGTGTTCCGCTCTTTATTTTTCTGTTTTCCTTAAAACAGACTGCGTTTCAACAGTCATGTATCCACCCTTTCCTTTTTATTTCTTTTTCAAAAGCATTATTTTTGTCTGACTGAGCTCATTGTTCCCAGGAAGAAGGAAATTTAATTACAATTTTATTTTCTTATCGAATTGAACCGATAAAAAGCAATTTCAGAAAGAGAATCAAAATTAAAAGAAAAAAAGATTCCAATTTAATAAAATGTTTCCAATTTAAAATAGAAAGAAAATAAATTTGTGAAAATAATTCAATGAAGTGAAAAATTCGAAAATTAAAATTAAGAAATAGAAAAAAGAAAAAAAAAGAAATTGAAAAATTAAGAAAATTTCCTTCCTGATGGGATCAGTAGTTTGAGCGTCACAAAGATTTAGCTCTTTGTGAGGGCTCTTGTATATCCAAACATAGACTGAGATACGTATTGCAATACTTAAATGAAAAAAAAAAGTATAGAATCACTCGGTTCGCAATTACCCTCGTACAAAGAATATAATCGAATGGCGGAGTAACGAAATGTTACATAGGATATTTATGAAGTTACAATCTCAATAAATAGATAGTTTACCAGCTATATAAAAATAATTAACGACTTAAAGAAAAAAAAACACACAAAAAAAAGAAGCGCTCCCACGTACACAGAGATTTAACGACCAGTTAAAAAAATAATTGATCGATTGATTATAATGAAATAAAGAAAAAAGAAATTAATTGTGTAACTAATTAATGCTGAATTTGAATACGCAAAAAACAAAACCCGTAGGAATGGCGGAATGAATGCATTAATTTTAATGTTGTCAACTTGCAATTATTTCAAAGTGTTCTTTCTCGAGAAGAACTTTATCTTTAAATGTATAGAAAAAAATGTTAACGCATTACGTCAATTAAGAAAAATAATTTTTCTTCAATTTTTTTCTACAATCAAATTTTTGTAAAGTAAAAAAAATAGAAAAAATTTTCAAAATATTTAATTTAAAAGTTAAATCAAAAGGAGAGAAAAAAGAGTATTTTTAAATGCAATTATATTCAAAATTCGTGAATTTCTTTTTCTGCAAAAATAAAAAAGTTGACAACACTAAGAATATGACACACGTGTGACCCTGTCCAGAATTTATTAGGCACAAAATCTAAAAAATCATGCTTTTTACTATAATAGATTCTCCTCTTCGAGTCCCTTAAAAATCCTCATATTTCCCCTTTTTCCTCGCGCTCTCGCATCAAATTTTATTGTAGAAAAAAAAACACTATCTCGCGTGTAAAATTTCATATTAGGAATTTTCATAATTCGGTGCTGATATAATAAATACATAAATATATATATAAATAATCGGCACAAATAGTCGCGCGAAAAAAGCATCGTTGAATATTTTTTACATATATAATGGCAAAAAATATTTTCATCTGCCGAATGAAAGAAAAAAAAGGCGAATTTGAAGAAAAGAAAAAAAACACACGAAGGTTCTGAACAGGCGTCATCGCACGAGGTGGAATGTATCGTCGGATCATTTGAGTGATCAGGAGCGTTTAGTGCAATTTTATTAGCAATTTAAGCCCGTCGGTTTATGAATCTAGAATGATTGTTTTTTTTTGAGGGGGAATTTTTCCCTGGAAAAAAAAGAAGTGAACTGTAAACATGCGATTGTGAGAAAATAAACAAAAAAAAGAACAACCAATCATAAGTGATTTTGTAATATTTCTTATCGGTTCTAGCTGCCATATCCAGTAAATAAAAAAAAATATTATAAGTATGAATATCGAAATATGACATTTCGGTAGAGTGTGAATCATGAAATTGTGTTGTTGTTGGCAAATTTTTGGATAAGAATGGGCGTGTTGATAAATAGTATGTTTATTTGCTGACAGAGAGTGTCTTTATGAAAGTGGATGATTTAGAATAAGATGTTGGAATGACGACGGGTCTAAAAAAAAACAAAAACAACAGTTCATTACAATTATGTGATTATAAACGAGAGGAAGAGACGAAGAGTATTATAAACACGTTGTTAATTGAATTAATAAAATTAGCCCAAAGTAATAAAATTAATTTTTTCTTTTCATTTCACTTCTACTTTTCAAATATTCGAAAAAGCAAATAAAGGAATTAATTAACTTTTTGCCATTTTTGAGAATCAACAAATTTTCTTAATAAAACGTTTAGAAATATTTTATTTTTCATTTTTTGTTTCACTTTTTGCAAGAAGTGAATAAATAATATATAAAATAAAAAAATGAAGTTTTTGAAAATCTATAAATTGTTTAGAACTAAAAGTAAAAAAAAAGTAATTTATCGAAGAAGATAATTTTTTGGAAAGTTCAAATTTGAATTTTTCAGTAATTTAATAGTTCTGTCAAGGAAGATGATGGTCATTTTTTCTAAAAAATATTTTCTTATCCATTTTTTCTAAAAAAAAAGCGGTTTCTAATTAAATTATTTTTCTGAAATATGTTTTTCTAACAAATTTTCATTTTTAAAAGAAATATTCTAACAGAGTTTGATTTTCAATATTTATTTTACAATTTCTGACAAGTTTTGATTTCTAAAATCTTTTCTTTTTTTAAAAAAAAGTGATTTCTAATTAAATTAGTTTACTAAAAAATATTTTTCTAACAAATTTTCATTTCTAAAACGAATATTCTAACAAGTTTTAATTTTCAAACTTTATTTTACAATTTCTAACAAGTTTTTATTTCTAAAATTTATTTTACAATATTTCTAACAAATTTTGATTTCAAAAATCCTTTTTTTCAAAAAAAAGTGATTTCTAATTAAATTAGTTTTCTAAAAATACTTTTCTAACAAATTTTAATTTCTAAAAGAAATATTCTAAAACAGATTTAATTTTCAAAATTAATTTTACAATATTTCTAACAAATTTTGATTTCAAAAATCCTTTCTTTCAAGAAAATGTGATTTCCAATTAAATTAGTCTCTTAAAAAATGGCTTTCTAATACATTTTTATTTCTAATAAAACTATTCTAACAAGTTCTGATTTCTAAAATTTATTTTATAATATTTCTGACAAATTTTGATTTCTAAAATCCTTTCTTTTAAGAAAATGTGATTTCCAATTAAATTAAATTTCTAAAAAATATTTTTCTAACCAATTTTGTTTTCTAAAAAGAATATTCCAACAAAAGTTTTAATTTTCAAAATTTATTCTACAATCTCCAACAAATTTTGATTTCCAAAATTTATGTATAATATTTCAAACACATTTTGTTTTCTAAAATATTTTTTTTCCAAAGAAAGTAATTCTTGATAAAATTAGTTTCTTAAAAAATGTTTTTCTATTAAAACTATTCTAACAATTTTTTATTCTTCATTGAAAATTTATTTTACAATTTCTATATGACAAATTTTGGTTTCTAAAATCCTTTCTTTCAAGAAAATGTGATTTCTAATTAAATTAGTATCTTAAAATATGTTTTTATAATACATTTTGATTTCTGATGAAACTATTCTAACAAGTTCTGATTTCTAAAATTTATTTTATAATATTTCTGACAAATTTTGATTTCTAAAATCCTTTCTTTTAAGAAAATGTGATTTCTAATTAAATTAAATTTCTAAAAAATATTTTTCTAACCAATTTTGTTTTCCAAAAAGAATATTCCAACAAAATTTTTAATTTTCAAAATTTATTCTACAATTTCCGACAAATTTTGATTTCCAAAATTTATTTATAATATTTCAAACACATTTTGTTTTCTAAAATATTTTTTTCCCAAAGAAAGTAATTCTTAATAAAATTAGTTTCTTAAAAAATGTTTTTCTAATAAAACTATTCTAACAATTTTTTATTTTTCATCGAAAATTTATTTTACAATTTCTATATGACAAATTTTGGTTTCTAAAATCCTTTTTTTTCTAAAAACAAAGTGATTTCTAATTAAATTAGTATTCTAACAAATGCTTTTGCTAATCAATTTTTATTTTTAAAAAATTATTCTACTTAGTTTTGATTTCTAAAATGAATGTTTTACAAATTTGTAAAATTTAAAAATTTTTCTAAAAGTATAATTATTTTAAAATATTTTTATTATTTCATTTATAATTATTTCTATAATTATTTATTTATAATTATTTTCACAATTTTTTTTTCTAATGAAGATTTATATTGTAACAAGTATTTTTTACTACAAATTTATTAACTTGAAATTAAAAAAATAGATTTGACGTTAAGACAATATTGACATCATATAAAACAACTATAGTTAGACTTCTTCGAAGCTGCATGCAAATAACAAAATCTTTATAATTCTATAATTAAAATTCTACAATTTCAATAACTTTTTTAATTAAATTAAATTTTTTATTAGTTTAAAAATTGAATATTGTTAGAAAAAGAAATTTTAGAAAATTACCTTCAATAAAAAAAGATATTTCGGAAATGCATATTCATTAGATGAATAAGTTTTAGAAAATGCGTTTTAGAAATCTGGAGCGTAATTTTCTAACAGATTTATTAAATAATAGTTTTGTTCTAATTTTTATAATGTAAGATATAATTGAAAGATTTTGAGGAAAAATAATTGCGAAAAGAATTCAGAAACTTCTTTAAAAAATAGAGACTTCTACATTTATTTCGGTTTCCTTTTATACAAATCGTAATTAATCTTAGAACGGATTAAATATTACTGTATAGAAATAGAGTTAATATTAATTATTAAATAACTAATAATGAATAGTATTTAATTAATTGTAAAATATTTGCTGTTCTCTCTTAATGTTTTTTTTCTATACAAATACAATTAAGGTTAAAGTTAATAATTTTGTCGAGAACGATTTTCAAGTACACAGCCTTTTTGTAGTAAAATTCATAATAATTACAAGTTGATAATTCTTGTAAAATTAGAATTAAAATTTTGTTTTTATTATTTATGTTTTCTTTTTAGTGGATGTTTTCTGTTTCCAATTTTTTGTCGAATATTTGGTTCCAGTGGTGGTACCATTAAATCCGCTTGTGTTTCTATTGTTGTGCAATAATTATTTTTATTTTTTTATTTTTTAAAAAAAATTTTTAAATTTCCGAAAAAATCATGAAATTTTTTTTTGTTTTTTTCACCTTATTTCTGAATTAAAATAGTGTCAGAAAATAAATATACAAAATTTTTTCAATTATATTCTGTTATAGTTGAAATTTCGGGTGCGGGTCCCCTTAACATTTTACAAGTGGTAATTTTTTAATAATTTTTTTATTATATTTTAAATTTTGTTTATAATTTTAATTTGTTTAAATAATTTATTATTTATAAAATTAGACAATTATGTTAAATTATTATTTTTATTAAATTTAATAAAAATAAAAAATGAATAATTGAAAAGTAAAATATTAATTTTTTTCGATAAATTTATATTTATAAACATTCATAAACTTTTTTTTATAATTTTTTTCAAGTTTATGTCAAAAAAGCAATGTTGGCAAAGAGCGTCGTGAACAATTTTTCTATACTCAGCCAGCACTTGCCGCCGTGGCTTGTCCAAGCTTTGGCGAAACAAAAATTCTGTACTGCGCCAGCACTAATTGTCGAGGCTCGACTAGACTACGCCGAACAATCGTCTGAGTACTAAGCCAGTGGTGAACATCGGCACAACACTGGCATTTCCCATTGGGTAGTTACTTCGTCATTTTCAGAAGACACTGAAAGTTCTCCCTTCATGCACTTGTAGGCAAGAGCTTCCTCAGAACTTGCATAGTATTCAACCACGTACCATATTCCCAAAAACTGAAATTAAAAATACCATTATTTAACATTTTAAAACAGAATTCAAAATTTCATTTTGGGAACAAAAAATAATAAATTCAAATACTCTGTTATCATTAAAGTAAATTTAGTTTGCATATTAAATATAACAGCACATCTTTCATATTATTTTTCTAATAATCCAGAATATAAAATATACACGAAATGAACAATTTCCGGCACGTTAAAATTTATGAGTTTTCGAATCCAAGCAGTCCCAACACTTTACTTCCAGATTTATTGCATTCCGCTCGGAGATACGCTCGCTTTGCAATTCTATTCCTCTTTATTCTCTCTTTCTCTGTGGTCAAAATGTAAATATTTAAATTTCTAATTTTTCCAAACACGGATTTTTAATAAAATTAAATGAAAGAAAAAGGAGGAAAAAAATAAATAGAGAAGATTTTATTCAAATTTATAGAGATTTTTATCGAAATAAGAAAGAAATAAATATTCATAGTATAATAATTATTTTCTAAAAGTTATTTTTATTTATACTGTAAAAAAACAAATAAAATTAAACAAACATTTTCTATTGATAAGTGGATGAAGTTTACAACGTTTATTATCAACGATTGAAAGCAAAAGGCATTTTTTTTACATTTTTTTATTTATTTTAATTACAAATAATAATTTAACTACAAAAACCATTTTTTACGTTTACAATTTTTTCTCTTTTAAACTGTTGTTCAAGAAAATGTTATAAAAATTTTTTTAATAAAGAAATGTTAATAAAAAACTTATTTCTTTTTCTAAATCGTTGATTATAAACTTTGAAATTATATGAGGTTTTTTATTTTTTATGTGTAAAAACTATAATGTTTCATTATAAGTCTGCCAAAAATCATAAATAACTTGATAATCGGAGTCAAAAGTTTTTCAAGTGGTCGTTTTTATTTATTTTGGCTCAAAAGCTTTTTGTTAACCTACTTCATTTTTTTCATAAGTTTCAAACTTATTAGATAATCTTAATAATTATCTGCGGCTCTAAAAAAAAATAAATGGACTTACTATTCAGCAGAACACTGTGTTTGTTAATAAAAAATAATTTCATAAATTATTTAAATAATTTTCAATATAAAGTTAAAATTTATTTATTTTTTATATTTATCATTGTATATAGGACTTTGTACGTCATTAAAAAAATATATATATATATATATATATATATATATATAAATGTGACCGTACTCTGTGTTTATGACCTAGCAAATGATAAAAAAATTAACCCATAATTTTATAATAAATAACAATTTTATTATTTGACGATAATAGCTCCAGAACACTATTATAAAAACTATTTTTCTTCAATTATTAACGCCAGTTGATTATTGAATGCAGAAAGCTAATTGAATTTCTTTAACTATGAATTATTCTTTTCAAAAAATATATTGCCTTTTGGCAATTTTCCTCTTCAGTTGTAAGTTTAGAATATATATTTTAAATTATTAAATATTATTTATCATTTAAATTGAATAATATTCATCTTGTATCTAGCTAAATATAAATAATATAATAGAAATACTAAAAATTATTCTACAGCAAAATTATTTTACAAAAATTGGAATTTTTTTATAAAACATATTTATTGTTAATTTAGAATTTATTTATAAGGCACATTTATAATGATTTCAGAATTAATTTATTTCAAAGTAATGTGCAATTTAAAAATTTCTTAACAATCAGGGCTCGAACCAGTGAAAGTTTTTAAAAATACGGACTTTACGGACCAAAAATGAAAAATTACGGACCATTTACAGACCAACTGCTGACAAAAATAAAACCAATCAGAGTCAAATAAGAGAACATTTTATTTAAAACTATAAATTAAATTTTTCATTACTGAGGCATTTCACGTCAGAAATATCACGATTTGCAAAGGGTATGCCGATTTTCGCAAAACTTCGTGGGATTATAGTTCTATATAAGAGACTTCTTTCCCCCAAATTTTTTCAAAAAAAATTCAAAATTGTTGAAGATACGTCATTTTGAATTTTAATATTAATTTTATAAAATTTTGAATATCTCGGAATATTGTTTATGGATTTTTATGAAATTTACACATTTTTCAGGTAAAAGTATTTACATTAAAATGCAAATAAAGTTAATAAAAAAAAATGAATTTTTAAATAAAAAAATAAAAAAAAAATTTTTTAAACAATTTTTTGTTTATTTACTCTTCTCTGAGAAAAATATTAATAACATATTTGGATTCCTTGTGAATTCACCTTTAATTTCATAAAAAAAATTGATGGAGACTCAACTGGTTCCATCAATTTTTTTTTAGGAAATTAAAGGTGAATTCATAAGGAATCCAAATATGTTAATAACATTTTTCTCAGAGAGGAGTAAATAAACAAAAAATTGTTTAAAAATTTTTTTTTTATTTTTTTATTTAAAAATTAATTTTTTTTTATTAACTTTATTTGCATTTTAAAGTACATACTTTTACCTGAAAAATGTGTAAATTTCATAAAAATCCATAAACAATATTCCGAGATATTCAAAATTTTATAAAATTAATATTAAAATTCAAAATGGCGTATCTTCAACAATTTTGAATTTTTTTTTGAAAAAATTTGGGGGAAAGAAGTCTCTTATATAGAACTATAATCCCACGAAGTTTTGCGAAAATCGGCATAACCTTTGCAAATCGTGATATTTCTGACTTGAAATGCCTCTACTATGAAACATAAAGATATCGAAAACTCCGAGTCTTCGACTCGGATTTGTTTACAATATTCAATTTAACGAAATTTCAATTATTCGTAAATTCTTCAATTAAATATATATATTAGAAAATAAAAACTTCAAATAATATTAAAAAAATCAGCAAATAAACTTTCTCAAAAAAAATTAATTCCACAGAATTGTTAGTTAAAAATATGAAAAATTCAAATTTTTAAAGATTTTAATCTGAAACCTTTTCAAAATTCAATTATTTCTAAAAATTTAAGCTCTAATTCTTTTAATATTCAATTATAATCTAAAATTTAAACTGAAATCCATTTTTAAAGTAATTTTTATTACAAAATTCAAACAGAATTCAATTATTTAAATACAAAAAAAATAATTTATTGAATAATAAATTCCATGTTTCTTAAAATTAAATTCTCATAAAGAATTTTATCAATAAATTTGTAAATAATTGAATTCTTTTGACGAATTTTAATAAAATTTTCAAGAATAATTACATTTTTTCGAGGAATTCTATTAAAATTGTATTAAAAATAATTGAATTCCTAATAAGAATTTGTTATAGTTAGTTATTTTTCAAGTTTTGATATTTGAGACAATTTTGCAACTCATTGCAAAATTAATTATATATTAATAAACTTTGAAATTTCCTTTTAAGTGTAATTTTTTACACTCACTTCTTGTGCGTGAGGAAATAATTAATTTTGTTTCTTATCCCACATAATATTATTTAATGTATATTATAACTCTGTCTAATATATTTTTACAATATATTAGATAGAATACCGAATATAACATTAAAGAATATTATAAAAGTAAATTCACTTATTTTTGTTTAGCCTTAAGTTAGATTTTTTTGTACCGGAGGTACGGTACAAAGTTGACGGTAAAAGGCAAAGTGGCACGATGCATCGCTCTTAAGTAGAGTCTACATTCCATGGTACGCGAACGTGAACGTGTACGTCTGACGTCACCCATGCTATTCAAATGGGTGACGTCAGCACGGCAACGTTCGCGTTCATCCAATGTAGACTCTACTTTACGAGAGAGTCTGGAGACACGTCTGACTCGCCCTGTGTCTCCCGCTCGACTAACTCTCGCTCTCGAAAACTCACGCGCTGATTGGCTCTTGCCAAGGTGGAAGGGATGTCGCGGATGCTACTCAGCAGAGGAGCATAAATACCGTGCATTTTCCCTGACTCAGTCTCTAATTTTTACCTATTTTATTACAACAAAAATTATATAGAATCGACAATATAACATTGTAAAACACAAAAAATATTATTATATAGGATTATATTTCTTCTTCTAGAAATGGTTACCTCATTACTTTAACAACTTATGGTATCATTACTATTAAATACTGCTTTAAACCGCTGACTCACTCTCTTACCTCGCCAGCCTTCGAGGAAGAAACACGTCTCTCACGCCGAGAGACACCGACGCCTGCGTTGCCGTCGCTGACGCCACGCTCTCTCGCCAACTGTTACTCTGCCGAGTGACGCTCTCAGCCGCCACTTCAACACGGACGCCTCGTCTGCCACCTCGCCGCCTGCCAAACCGTCAACTGCCTGCCGTCCTCCTCAGGGAAAATATTTGGAATAAATATTTTTATTTGGAAACAACAACGTCTCATCTCTGTTCCGCTGGCCGCGGAACCTCACCATCTCTACCAACCTGTCCTTTTCAGGACAAAAAAAACGCAAACAAATCAAACATTGACAATTAGTCCTTTTCAGGATAAATTGTCAATACTTTACGAAAGCATATTTTGGTTCAAAAACATTCCACACACGGCAAAGGAGTAACTCTGGTGGCTTAAGGCCTTGTGACCTTCTGCACCACCCTGAGGGTTAACGTTTTTCCGAGACAACTTAAGGCCCACACTCGGGACCTTCTGGGTCAGGGAGAACGTGACCCTTGAGGTAACGGAGCTTCTTCTCTCGCACCATCAAGCAGTGACAACCGGCTCCAGGGGACAGTACTTAGAACCTTGCTTAGGTTCAAGTACCCGACACCTGAAGTAGAACGGGTCCTCGTCTCTCAGGGTTTGAGGTCGGCGTCACCGATCGGCTCTGTCAACTACTGCCGCTAAGGTCTTCGAGGTTTACCCCCCCCCCCCCTTTTCGTAATTCTCCATTCAATTTTTTTCCACAATATTAATTTCACTGCCAAATTAATATTTTGTTTTAAATCTTTCTCTCGCACCTTTGAGCCAGTCACTACCCACCACACAGTGACCGGTATCAAATTTTATTATTTACCAAAATAATTGAATCCCTGTAAAAATTTTTTTATTTATAAAAATAATTGAATGATTGCGAAGAGATTTATAAAAAAATTTGTAAATAATGAAATTCCTGTGAAATTTTTATTATTTTTTGAAAATAATTAAAGGTTTGTGTAGAATTTTATTAAATTTTTTTTTAAATAATTGAATTCTTTTGGAAAATTTTATTAGAATAGTAAATACCTATTAAAAATCATTGAATTGAGAAAATTTTTTGAAAATAATTGAAATGTAGCCAAGAATTTTATTAAAATTTTTGAAAATAATTAAATTTCAGAGTCGAATTTAAATATTTTTAAAGATAATTGAAATTTTGACGAGAATTTAAAAAAATTGTTGAACATAATTGAATTTTTTCCCAAAATTTTATTACTTTTGAAAATAATTTAATTCCTACAATCATTTGTAATTTCTCTAAACTTATCCAAATTATATCGTACAATTTACGGACTTTACGGACCTTTTTTCAAAAAAACGGACTTTTACGGACTTTAAGCAAAGTTACGGACTTTTACGGGATTTACGGACATAGTTCGAGACCTGAACAATTAAAAATTAAAAAATCTTAGAAATGAATAAAAAATTGTCTTTATTTATTAATATATAAAATAATATTGATACAAGTGCAATTGTTAAACGTTTTTTTGTTTGATAAAAAATTCCGCAGTAAATTATTAAGTGGTATTGGCTCAAAATAGAATAATAGGAGGAAGTGAAACTACAATCGAAAAATATCCACATATGGTAAGATTCTTATTTTTTTTCGTTAACAAAAAAAACATTGAAAAATGAAAAAAATATATTTAAAAAATATTTCGATAAAAGTGAAATAATATTTATACTTATAGCTTCGTCTACAAAGTCCCTTAAAAGATAGTGATGTTATAAGTTTTTGTGGCGCTTCAATTATTGGCAAAGAACGGGGACTTACAGCAGCACATTGCTTTGATAAGTAAAATTTTTTAAAATTTAATGTAATTTCTAATTACTCCAAATTTTTGAGATTGTAATTTTTCAAAAAATAAATTAAAAAAATCTGTAACAAATTTTTTTTTAATTAAAATTTTTTTTTGGCTGAATAGGTAAAAGTTATTATTATTTATTGTTTAGATTTAAAATTATTTTGCTGTAAACAATAATTTCTTTGAGCAAAACAATTGATTTCACCAAAATAATTGTTATTGCTGGAACTAATACTTCACAAAAAGTATTATCAACTGCAATTAGACATAAAGTGATTACTGCAATACGACATGAACTTTATAAAGGTGTTGATGCGAATAACAAAATTGCAGGCGATATTGCAGTAATTAAAGTAAATCCACCATTTACTTATAGCAACGCCATTCAACCAATTAAATTACCAGAAAAAGATCGAGCATTGAAAACAGATCCTGCCACAGTTACAGGATGGGGAGACACTAAAGTAAGAATTAATAATTGAAAATGTAATTAAAATAAGTTAGAAATTAAGTATTATTTAAAAATACAAATATAGTATAGTCCCACAGAAGTGAAAAATCAGATTTTCAAAATACAAAATCGCAGACATTTTTTAAAAAAATGTTACTTAGAGCTTTCTAGTAGGGGCTCTGATTATAAATTAAAAATTCATTTGATTTTATTGAATTTCGAACAATTTGTAGAGTCTTAGACCATTTAAGTAAAAAATTCGTGAATTTATAGAACTTAAGAATTATTTTCAATTCTCATGTTAATTAAAAAGTAAAATTTAGTTGTTTAGTTTAAAACAATAAAGAAAAAAATCTAAACCACTTTTAGAAAATTGCGATTATGTTCAAAAATAAAATCGACAAACTAAGCCCTTTAAAGACAGATAAATACATTATTGAAAAATTAATTATAATTATTCGGAATAATTAACAGTCAGGTGGACCGGGCTCTGATATATTGCGTGCTGTTTCTGTACCAAAAGTTGATTTAAAAAAATGCCAAAACATGTATTCATTTACTGGAGTGAAACTTATAGAAGGGGAAATATGTTATGGATGCAGTAAAGGAAAAGATGTTCGCGATAAGTGTAAAGTATGGAAAATTTATTATGCCTATTTGTCATAATTATTAATCCACCGAATTGCCATTTGACATAATTTTCAAACCTTCGAAATATTATATTACATATAACTTTCATTTATTGAAATTTTATTTGTCATAATGTTCATTTACTCGAATTATCAAGTGACATAAAACGCATTTACTCGAATTCTCATGAGACATAACCTTTAAATCTACGAAATGTCATATTTAAGAAATTTCATTTATCGAAATTTTATTTTTTATAATTTTTATTTATTCGAATAACCATTTAACATAAAATTTATTTGTTCGCAATTCCATTTGACATAATTTTCAAACATACGAATTATTTTTAACCTATAATGCAAGTCACATTTGAAAATTTCATTGTTATTTTTAGGACAAATGAAATTTCTGTGACTTGCATTATAGGTTAAAAAGTAATTCGGATGTTTGAAAATTATTTTAAATGAAATTTTGGACAAATAAATTTTATGTTAAATGGTTATTCGAATAAATGAAAATTATTGACAAATAAAATTTCTATAAATTAAAAATTCTGAAATATGACATTTCGTAGATTTAAAGGTTATGTCTCATAAGAATTCGAGTAAATGCGTTTTATGCGTTTTATGTCACTTGATAATTCGAGTAATGAACATTATGACAAATAAAATTTCGATAAATGAAATTTCTTAAATATGACATTTCGAAGATTTGAAGGTTATGTCACATGAAAATTCAAGTAAATGCGCTTTATGTCACTTGATAATTCGAGTAAATGAACATTATGACAAATAAAATTTCGATAAATGAATGTTATGTAATATAATATTTCGAAGGTTTGAAAATTATGTCAAATGGCAATTCGGAGGATTAATAATTATGACAAATAGTCATTCGGAAAAACAAAATGTAGGTCAAAAAAATTTTAGACATATTAAAAATTATATTAAAAAACAATTCGACTATTTAAATAATAGGATAAAGAATAAATCGATAAATTAAAAATTATGTTGAATGAAATTTCGAAAACTGAAAATTATGCGAAACGATGTTTCGATGATAAGAATTTCGATGTTTTCAACATTATAGGAAATTGAAATTTGAGGAATAATCATGCGCCCCAATAAAGATAAATATCAAGTTGGTATATAAAAATTTTCTTCTATTAACAAAATTAATTGAGTCAATAATTTTATTGTTAAAATACTCTAGAACAATTTATTTTCCAAAAAATATTAGAAAACATTTTTTTTGCAGTTCGTGAATATCAAAAAATATTTTACTTTTAAATTTAATCATATACGCTATTAATTTAAAATATATTTTGTTTCCAGTCCAGGGGAATGAATCACTGTGATTTAAAAGCATGTTTAGACGATAAACTTTACTTTGGGGTATAATACTATTCAAAACTTTTATCTAAACTAGATAAATCATTTCTCCAATTTGTTAAATATATTTATGAACCAAAAACTTTAATTTTAAGGTAGTACGCTCGCGATCCCATTTTTTTATAGAATTCCCTGAAATTTAAAATCTGAATAGTTAATATCAAGATCTACAAACTTGCACAATTTTAAAACAATTGACTGTTTCTAAAACAAGATATTTAAGTTAAAAGTTTGTCATTTAACATGGTTAACCTATAAAGAGTGCATATAAATGGCACATTTCTTCTAATAACTTCTAAAATTTTCTATAGATTGTTTTCAAAAACTAATATATTATAAATGAATATTTGACAAATTTAGAACAAAAAGATTTAACAATATTAACCGTTTCAGTTAAAAGATATAATATAATATAATATTCTAATCTGACTAGTATACTTGTGTGTGAGTGTGTCTGTACATACTGGAATTGGCCTGACTAGTCGAAGCCAAAATTTAAGAAGAAGAAGAAGTGTCTGTACATAGGGCTGACTATGTATTCAGTACAGTCCAAGCAAAAAAATGCGACAGTAACTGCACCATACTATAGCATTTTATTAAAATTTACTTTTGAGAGTGACTGTCGCGAGCGTACTACCTTAACTCCAAAATAAATATGATTATGAATTATAATTCAAAACGTAATTCAAATATTCTCAAATAGAATTTATAAGAATAAAAATATTTAAAAATGCTTTTGCTTTAATAAAAAAATATCATTAAAATTAATTCTTCATTTAGGATACCATTTAAATTATCAATTGATTATAATTCACGGAAGTTTAAAATTAATATTTGTATTCTGAACATAAAAAGTAATAAACCAAAAATTATTTTAATCTACGAGAAACGCTTCTACTTTAAAATACAAAAAATTCCATTAAATTTAAAATTTATCTATTCCACAATTAATGGAAAATAAAAAGAAAAATTTTTATTATGGGTTGCCACGATTTGATTTTGTTCTTCCCTGATTTCGAGACAGAATGTTGAATTTTCCTTGACTTATAACGAATATTCTGATTCACTCTAAAAATTATTAAATTATCTATTTCTAATAAATTTATTTGTGAATATCTCTAATTTTAAAATTATTCTTAATAATATCAATATTTTTTTTATGAATAATTGAATATTATTAATATTTTTCCATGGGATATAAAATTATTGGAAATTTTAAACTTTAAAATTTTTTAAATTCAATAAATAATTTGTAATTAAATTGCTACTGTGGCTTCTCAAAAATTTTATTTTCATGATTTCAATTCAACTATTTTCTACAAATGTTTTCACACTTTTCATTTGCATGTGTTCTGTGACAATTCCTCAAAGTTTCATAAAAATTGAAGAACAAGGGTCAAATTTGATTTTTTAGGCATGGACCTACCCAGATTAAAATTGAAAGTGCAATTATTATTTAAACAAATTATTATTATTATTTTTGTTTAAATTATAATTTTAGTTTTAATGTACATCGGCATTTCAAAACAGTTTGGTAAATTTGCATTATTAGAAAAAACTGCATCTTTTTAGTATACTATTTTGTAAATAGTTTAGTAACTAACAATAATAATTTGTTTAAATTTTGCTTTCCAAAATAATAATTATGTTTTAAATCTGCACCGGAATTTATGTAAGGTCCGGTAAATTGCAAAATTAGAGAAAAATACACCTCTCTATGTACAATATATAAAAAGTTAGTAATTAACAATAATAATAATAATTTGTTTAAACAAATAAAAATTTAAAAAATGCACAGTATTCTTACAAATTTATAGTCTGTCATTTTCCAAAAAGAAAAATTGAATTCGGTTAAAATTTACAAATTATAGGTGATTTTGAACATTAGTTTGTATGTATAGAGTATAGCCTGAAAATGCGCTGCTGATTTTGAAATATAAATACTTCGGATTTTTGAAACTAATTTCCAAAAGAAAAGAAAAAGAAGGAACATAAAGTAAATTAATTAAATATTTCCATTTGGTTTGAAAATTCAACGAAACTGTAAAGTCTGGTAATTTATTTCTTTTTCAAAAGCATTATTTTTGTCAGACTGAGCTCATTGTTCCCAAGAAGAAGGAAATTTAATTACAATTTTATTTTCTTAGCGAATTGAACCGATAAAAAGCAATTTCAGAAAAAGAATCAAAATTAAAAGAAAAAAAAGATTCAATTTAATAAAATATTTCCAATTTAAAATACAAAGAAAATAAATTTGTGGAAATAATTCGATGAAGTGAAAAATTCGAAAATTAAAATTAAGAAATAGAAAAAAGAAAAAAAAAAGAAATTGAAAAATTAAGAAAATTTCCTTCCTGATGGGATCAGCAGTTTGAGCGTCACACAACACTAAGAATATGACACACGTGTGACCCTGTTCAGAATTTATTAGGCACAAAATCTAAAAAATCATGCTTTTTACATACTATAATAGATTCTCCTCTTCAAGTCCCTTAAAAATCCTCATATTTCCCCTTTTTCCTCGCGCTCTCGCATCAAATTTTATTGTAGAAAAAAAAACACTATCTCGCGTGTAAAATTTCATATTAGGAATTTTCATAATTCGGTGCTGATATAATAAATACATAAAAAATTAGAAAATTTGTTTTAGAAAATCTGGAGCGTAAATTTCTAACAGATTTTTTTTCCTAATTTTTATAATATAAGATATAATTAAAAGATTTTGAGGAAAAATAATTGCGAAAAGAATTCAGAAACTTGTTTAAAAAATAGAGATTTCTACATTTATTTCGGTTTCCTTTTATACAAATCGTAATTAATCTTAGAACAGATTAAATATTACTGTAGAAATAGAGTTAATATTAATTATTAAATAACTAATAATGAATAGTATTTAATTTCGTAAAATATTTGCTGTTCTCTCTTAATATTTTTTTTCTATACAAATACAATTAAGGTCAAAGTTAATAATTTTGTCGAGAACGATTTTCAAGTACACAGCCTTTTTGTAGTAAAATTCATAATAATTACAAGTTGATAATTCTTGTAAAATTAGAATTAAAATTTTGTTTTGATTATTTATGTTTTCTTTTCAGTGGATGTTTTCTGTTTCCAATTTTTTGTCGAATATTCGGTTCCAGTGGTGGTACCATTAAATCCGCTTGTGTTTCTATTGTTGTGCAGTTATTTTGCTCCATGGTGAACAAATATTCCATATTTACATCGTACCTTAAAAAAAGAAGAAATAAATATAAATATAATAAATAAATCAATAAAAATTATGTCAAATTCTTAATTTATATATACATATAGTAATGATGCTATCACTCGATCGACAAATTATTAAGATGATGAAAAAAATCGATCACTCCGAGTCAGGATTTATTTTTTAATTTTTTTTTTTATAATTTCTTAATTTATAGTTAAAAATGTATTATTATTGAGATTTTAATTTATGAACTTATTTATTTCTAAACATGATTTTTAAATATAATTAAAATTATATATAAATATAATTTCTAAATATAATTTTTACGAAATTATATTTTAAATTATCGAAATTTACGAAGATTATAAACTATACAAAAATTAGAAATTAAAAATTGCAAAAAGGAGAGATAATTTATTTTCTAAAGTAATATATTATAATTTTTTACCAACCTGAGAAGTTTTTCTTTCAAATATGAAATTACGTTGACTCCAACACTGACTTCTCGACTCATAATAAAACTAGATAAGTACCGTGGACTCTTACTCTTCTCGGCACAATGCATCAATAACGCCCACGACTTGTAGTCCGTGTCTAAAACGTAGGTGTTATAGACCCCTTCATCTGCATTACAAATAAAGAAAAAAATAACAATTCAGTCAAACGGTTTTTCTACGCAATATTATTGTTAGTCATCATTGTAAATTTACTTTTAAATTATTAGAAAGTTTCAAAATATCTTCGAAATTCTTATTTTAATACTCAGGAATATTAATTTTCATTTTTTTCTCAACATTTCAAAAGATTAAAAATATCAAGAACTCGTTAATACAGAATTTTTAGAAAAAAATTCTTTATTTGAATATTTCAGTTTTGAAAATGTAAAAAAAAATCAAAAATTCAGAATTTTGATTTCTATCATTCAACATTATTGCACTATTTTGATATTAATTCTACTATTCAAATTTTAAAAAATATGGTAAATTCAATTATTCAATTTTGTTAAATAAATATTTGAAAACTTATTATTTTTTTCATCAGAAATAAAATTTAAAAAATTTCAATTGAAAACCTTCTGAAATTTAATAATTTCTAAAAACTACAACTATAACCCTTGCAAAATTCAATTATATCCTGAAATTTTTAACTATACTTCAACTCCTAAATCAATTATTTCTAAAAAATTTCCGAAAGTCCTTCGAGAATTCAATTATTTAAATACAAAAATTCTATTTTTTATAATAATTGTAACTGTACCTGTCTATGTTTTTTAAAGTTATTAAGATATAATATTTTCAAAAAATTATAATAAAAAAATTCTTATAACAAATTTTTAAAAAATATTTTAAAATTATTTTTGAAAGATAATAGTTTTTCAAATTATTCCAATCGAAAAATTTCCAAATAATCTAATATTTTAAAAATAATTGAAATTTGGTAAAACCTTTCAAAAATAATTGAATTTTTGAAAAATATAAAAAAATAATCAAATTTTTGAAGAATTTTAATTATAAATATTAATATGATTACTTGGAAATTTTAATAAGTCTAAAAAGTAAATTTTAAAAAATTTTAATTTATATTGTTCGAAGATTATTGAATCTTCGAAAATTATGATAAAACAATTCCAAGAATTAGTTTTTTAAAAATATTATAATGTAAACGAATATAATTTTGAATTTTTGTATAATTTAAAAGAGACTAATTAATTTTTCTGAAGAATTTTAATAAAAAATTTTGAATATAATTGTTTTCTCCAAAATGTTAAAAATAATTATAAAAAAGTTTTAATGTTATTATTGTTTGTATGTACATATTTGCATTTTCGAACATATGTAGTTGAAAATAGTAAAAATTTTTGAATTTTAAAAAATTGTAATGAAAAAATTCTAAGAATTACTTTTTTAAAAATTATTTTAATATATTAATTTTTAGAAGTGAGTTTCCAATCATTTTCATTTTTAAATTTAATCTTGAAGAATTTTCATTAACATTTTTGAGAATTCCATTATTTTTAAAATTTGCAATTAAAATTCTTCAAAAGTCGATTTTAAAAAATTGTAATAAAATTCATTATAAAACGAATTATTATAATTATTTTATTAATTTTAATTATTATTTTTAATTTTATAGAAATATTAAAAAAAAAAAATTTTAATAATTTTTAAAAGATTTGTCTATAGTTATTTTTTACACTTTAAAAATCGAAATAAATTTGCACTTTATACTATATAAGAATGTGGTATGTATTTTGTTGTAATATTTGGAACAAAAAGTCTTAATTTTATAAAATAAGTCGAAAAAAGTTGCATTTTTTGAAAATAAAGGAAATATCTAAGGCCTGGAATATAGAAATTGTAATAAAAAAAAAAAATTCTAAAAAATTCAATAGTTACAAATTTCTGAATTATGTTAAGGAAAGGGCACACTTATATTTTTAACTGATATTAAAGAAATAATTTAAATATTCAACAAAATTATTTTTAAAGTAATTTTTTGTGAAGAATTCAATGGTCATAAAATAAAATATGTCAGAAAATATTTTGACCCTTTTTGAATTTTCTTAAAAATTGGTGGATTTTGAAATCCATACGTAATTTTGTAGAAAATATGTTTTTGAATCCACAAAAAAATTTCCAAATAAAAAAATTCATTTTCAAAATTTTTATAGCATTTTTTTGAAAGAAAATCTCTGTTTTTAGACTAAAAATACTAAAAAAATACAATTATTTTTCATTTTTTTTTAAAGAAAATTCATTCGTTTATTTTTCTTACTAATTTCAAATCATAATTTTATCCTAATTTTTTTTTGTATTTTTATTTTTTATATATAAAAATTATAATTTGAAATTAGTTAAAAAAATAAACAAATGACCTTAAAAAAATTCTGAACTTATTGATGAAAGAAATATTTCTTCTATGTAGATATTTTTTGAAAATTACAGACTGTAGTATGTAGAAATCAAAACGTAAATTAAAAATTTTGAAACTTTTAGAAATTATTTTTTAAAAAAATATAAATATATAAAAAATGTAAGGAATGAAGAAAAGGAATGAATTTTGCAAAATTGATTGATGAAAGGAAATCGATTATGTTAATACGTATATTGGGAGTGATTAATTAAAAAGTTCTTACAAGGTTCTTCAGCATGAACCCAGTGAGCTGGTAAATCTGGTGAAGGAATTTTCCAGGTGATGTTCCCAATTAATTGTTCATTAATTGGATCATCGACGAAGCTGTAGGTAAAGTTCATAGTTACTTCGTCATTTTCAGAAGACACTGAAAGTTCTGCCTTCATGCACCTGTAGGCAAGAGCTTCCTCAGAACTTGCATAGTATTCAACCACGTACCATATTCCCAAAAACTGAAATTAAAAAAAAATACCATTATTTAACATTTTAAAACAGAATTCAAAATTTCATTTTGGGAACAAAAAATAATAAATTCAAATACTCTGTTATCATTAAAGTAAATTTAGTTTGCATATTAAATATAACAGCACATCTTTCATATTATTTTTCTAATAATCCAGAATATAAAATATACGCAAAATGAACAATTTCCGGCACGTTAAAATTTATAAGTTTTCGAATCCAAGCAGTCCCAACACTTTACTTCCAGATTTATTGCATTCCGCTCGGAGATACGCTCGCTTTGCAATTATATTCCTCTTTTCTCTCTTTCTCTGTGGTCAAAATTGTAAATATTTAAATTTCTAATTTTTCCAAACACGGATTTTTAATAAAATTAAATGAAAGAAAAAGGAGGAAAAAAATAAATAGAGAAGATTTTATTCAAATTTTTAGAGATTTTTATCGAAATAAGAAAGAAATATATATTCATAGTATAATAATTATTTTCTAAAAGTTATTTTTATTTATACTGTAAAAAAAGAAATAAAATTAAACAAACATTTTCTATTGATAAGTGGATGAAGTTTACAACGTTTATTATCAACGATTGAAAGCAAAAGGCATTTTTTTACATTTTTTTTTATTTATTTTAATTACAAATAATAATTTAACTACAAAAACCATTTTTTACGTTTACAATTTAAAATTTTTAAATTTTTAAATTTTTAAATTTTAAACTGTTGTTCAAGAAAATGTTATAAAAATTTTTTTAATACAGAAATGTTAATAAAAAAACTTATTTCCTTTTCTAAATCGTTGATTATAAACTTTGAAATTATATGAGGTTTTTTATTTTTTATGTGTAAAAACTATACCTAATGACGTTTCATTATAAGTCTGCCAAAAATCATAAATAACTTGATATAATCGGAGTCAAAAGTTTTTCAAGTCGTCGTTTTTATTTACTTTGTCTCAAAAGCTTTTTGTTAATATACTTCATTTTCTTCAAGTTTCAAACTTTTTAGATAATCTTAATAATTACCTGCGGTTTATAAAAAATAATTGGACTTATTATCAGTAGATTACTTTGTCTATTGTCTTTGTCAATAATAAATAATTTCATAAATTATTTAAATAATTTATAAAAACAAATTTCGTAAATATTTGATAAAAACAATAAACTTTTGACTTTTATTATTATTATAATTATTAATATTATCATTACTAGCTGTTGGACCCGTCTTCGACGGGTTTTAGTTTCTGCTAATACATTTGAAAGGGTGTTTACCGGAAATTAAAGTTTACTGTGAACAACTAATAATAAGTTAACATTAACTATTTCGTTAGGAAAATATTACTAATTTAATCAGTGACAGACTGTTTTCCATCAAATTTGTTATTCAGGAACAGTATTTGTCAACTTGTAGTACTTTATGCGTTTGTAGTACTACAATTAATGTAGGTATTAAAAATTAATCCTAAATTTACACCAGCTTTTGGAGTCAAAGTAGAGTCTATTTCGAAATAATTGTGTCACAATTAGATCCTACCTTACGACTGCTAAAACCTAAATAAAATCTATATGTTTAGGCTGAAAGTAGGGCTTAAATTTTACTTGGGTCTGTTTACATAAATATTACATCAATAAAAATTAGAGAAAAAAACAGTTTCTAAAAACAAATTAATATAATAAAACTTTTTTAATTTGGAGAGAAAATTCCCGGTTTTTCCTGGTCAAATTAAATTCCCGGCTATTTATCGGTTTCCCAGCGCAACTGGTAGACACTCTGTCAAATGTATTTTAGTAGAAACTAAAACCCGTCAAAGACTGGTACTGGTATATAACATATTTACTTAAAAAAGAGTATTTTCATAAAATAAGTCAATTTTTGTAGCCATCTGCTAGAGGTGTGCAAAAAGCTCGAATAGCATAGTCGAGCTCGAGTTTTAGTTACTCAAAAATATTTGAGTGCTCGAAAAATTCAAGTGCTCAAAATTATTTTAGGTTTAATACTGTCGGATGGAATTTGGTTCAAGTTCGGATTGATTCTGCTCAGCTCTGCTAGAAAAACGAAAAGCTTGAAATACTCGATCGAGCTTTTTGCACAACTCTACCATCTGCAGATTTATTTATGGATAAAACTTAAAATCAAGTAAATTTAAATTTGTTTAAAAAAAATATAAACCGGGTAAAATTTGGACAACGCCAGGAATTTTTTTAAACAAACATATATCTCATGCTTAACTTTTATCTTTACATTGCTCAAAATATCTTTAGAAGTTAAGTTTCAATTAAAGAATATTGGATGAATTGGATGAATAATTATGAATTGCATTATTTTGATGACAAAATCTTAATCAGAGACCCCAAAAATACTACTGAATTAAGCTTGATAGTAATTAATAACAATTATAATTTTTTCGATTTTTTGATATCGAAAATATTTTTATACTTACATTTTAGTCATTGTGTAAAAGCAATTCATTACAAAATGTAAACTTTGAAAATTTGTGATTTTTAAAATTGTTTGAAAACATTTTTATACTTAAATCTTAGTTATAGGACACTCTTTTAGGCAAAATTATGCTAAAATGTGACTAAATAACATGTAATACTTAACTATAGAGCGTTTAAAAGCCATTCATTAAAAAATGTAAATTTTGGAAATTTGCGATTTTTAAAATTTTTTTAATACATTTTTATACTTAAATCTTAGTTATCTAGGACACTATTTTTTGCAAAATTATGCTAAAATGTGACTAAATAACATGTAATACTTAATTATAGATAGTTTAAAAGCAGTCCATTAAAAAATATAAGCGATTTTTTGAATTTTTCGAAATCATTTTTATACTTACGTCTTAGTTATAGGACAGTACTTTTTTAAAAATTATGCTAAAATTTGACTAAATAACATGTAATACTCAATTATAGAGAGTTTAAAAGCAATTTATTAAAAAATATAAAATTTGAAAAATTTCGATTTTTTGAATTTAAAAAAAAAAAATTTTATACTTACATCTTAGTTATAGGACATTATTTTTGGCAAAACTATTCTAAAATATGACTAAATAACATGTTATACTCAATTATAGAAAGTTTGAAAGCATTTTTTAAAAAAATGTAAAATTTGAAAATTTTTGGTTTTTGAATTTTTCGAAAAAATTGAATATCTCCCGTTCTAATTAATATTTTTCAAATCTGTAAATTTATAAACCTTCCTTGGTCCAAGGTCTAACATTCTGCCAAATTTGGTTTCAAATGGTTCAGCCGTTTTTAAGTGATGCGCGAACAAAGATTCTGTGACATACCGACACACATACATACATACATACACGAAATTTTTTATTGGTATATTTGGAATCCTTGATGCCTAAAACGAATAATTATGTGCGAAATTTAAAGTTCTGAGCAATGTACAGACAAAAGTCTGATTTTATATATATAGATTATTATTATTCTTGATAAAATGTAGCAAATTTATTTTCAATATAAAGTAAGAATTTATTTATTTTGTTAAATTTACTATTGTATATATAGGACTTTGTACGTCATTGAAAAAAAAATATATATATAAATGTGACTGTACTCAGTGTTTATGACCTTCCAAATGATAAAAAAATTGCACATAGTTGTACAATAAATAACAATTAGTTGATGACATTAGCTCCCGAACATTATTATAAAAACTATTTATCATTAAATATTAACGCCAGTTGATTATTGAACACAAAAGCTAATTGAATTTCATTAACTATGAATTATTCTTTTAAAAAAATATATTGTCTTTTCGCAATTTTCCTCTTCAGCTGTAAGTTTGGAATATATATTTAAATTGTCTTTATTTATTAATTTATAAAATAATATTGATACAAGTGCAATTGTTAAAAGTTTTTTTGTTTGACAAAAAATTCCAGTAAATTATGAAGTGGTATTAGCGCAAAATAGAATAATAGGAGGAAGTGAAACTACAATTGAAAAATATCCACATATGGTAAGATTATAATTTTTTTTTGTTAATAAAAGAGGAAAATATGTAAAAAAAAATGAAAAAAATATATTTCAAAATTATTTCAACAAAAGTGAAATAATATTTAATACTTTATAGCTTCGTCTTCAAAGTACCTTAAAAGGTAGTAATTTGGTAAATTCTTGTGGCGCTTCAATTATTGGCAAAGAATGGGGACTTACAGCAGCACATTGCCTTGATGAGTAAGATTTTTCAAAATTTAATGTAATTTTTAATTACGCCAAATCTTTGAGATTGTAATTTTTCAGACAAATTAAAATAAAACTATAACAAATTTTTTTTGAATTAAAATTTTTTAAGCTAATTAGTTAAAAATTATTATTATTTATTGTTTAGATATAAAATTATTTTACTGTAAAAAATTTCTTTTAGTAAAAATATTGATTTCACCAAGTGTTATTGCTGGAAGTTCTAATATAAAAAAATTAGACAAAACTTCAACTATACATAAAGTGATTGCTGTAATACGACATAATCTTTATAAAGGTTTGAAAGCAAATAATAATATTGGAGCCGATATTGCTGTAATTAAAGTAAATCCACCATTTACTTATAGCAACGTAATTCAACCAATTAAATTACCGAAAAAAGGTGAAGCATTGAAAACAGATTCTGCCACAGTTACCGGATGGGGATACACTTCAGTAAGAATTAATAATAAAAATTCAATTAAAATAAGTTAGAAATTATGTTTTTTTAAAATTTTTATTAACTATAATAATCTTCGTATTTCATTCTTTCATTCTGTCTGTCCTCACTTTGAAATTAATTTTTGTGTATGCTATTGCTTTTTTTCCTTTAAAAAATATTGCTTGACAAATCGAAAATATACAGGTATTTTTTCATGATTTATAATAAAATAATATTAGAAATTAGAAAATTAAAAAAAGATTATGATTAACAAATATAAAATATACTCATTTTGTTTGTTATATGCTTTTTTCTATAACTTTCGTTTGACTGAACTAAGTTATTATGCAAATACAAATACACCCATTTTATGCATAATTTTTATTTCTTAAAAACAATATTGTTTACAAACTCATTTTTTTCTTTTGGGAAGAAAAACATTAGATAGTCCCGTTTCTTAATATTTTTTTAGAAATTTCTCAATTTTCATAAGGAAATAATTTGCATCAATTCCATTTCTTAATATCAATTGTTTTAATAAAATTCAAAGTTTTTTAAAAATAAATGAAAAAAATGCTTATAAATTATATTTGTGAATTAGAAAATTTAGTTGAAAATGAAACTGAAATTTTTTAAATTCTTAGAAAAAATTTTTTTTATTAATTAATTTTTTAAATTCTTCTGTATTGAAAAAAATGTTCTGTTAAATTTATTTACGAATATCTTTAATTGTAAAATTATTCAAAAACAATAATTTCTTTTTCAAATATTGTAAATATTTAATTATTATTATTATTTTTCCATAGGAATTAAGATTTTTAAAAATTTCAAATTCAAACCTTTTTGAAATTAATCAACTTTAAAAATAATGCTATAAAATATAAAGAAAACGATTACTCTGAGTCATCGACTCGGAGTGATCGATTTCTTCATGTTTTATAATAATTAAAGAGGATCGAGTGTTAAAATCATTATTTTATATTATAAGAATATTGTTACTGTAACTTCTTCAAAATTATTTTTATATTCTATTATTATCTAAAATTTAAACTAAAATTCATTTTCAAATCAATTTTTATTAGAAAATTCTACGAGAATTTAATTATTTAAATACAAAAGTAAATTATTTATTAAATAATTAAATGTTTCGTTAAATTTAATTCTTATAAAGAATTTTATTAACAAATTTTTAAATAATTGAATTCTTTTGACGAATTTTAATAAAATTTTTTAGAATAGTTACATTTTTCAAGGAATTTGATTTTCAAGTATTATTTAAAATTTTAAATAAAAATTTATTTTAAAATCAAGTTTTACTAGAAAATTCTACGAGAATTCAATTATTTAAATACAAAAATAAATTATTTATTGAACAATTGAATGTTTCTTAAAATTAAGAATTGTTTTGGGTATTTTTATTAGAATAGTAGATATTAAAAATCATTGAAATGAGAAAAATTTTTGAAAATAATTGCAATTTTGACACGAATTTTATTTAAATTTTTGAAAATAACTGAATTTTGAAGAAGAATTTTTTAATTTATAGTAAAAAATTCGCGAATTTATAGAAATTAAAAATTATTTGCAATTCTCTTGTTAATTAAAAAATAAAATTTAGTTGTTTAGTTTAAAACAATAAAGAAAAAAATTTAAACCACTTTTAAAAAATTGCGATTATGTTGAAAAATAAAATCGATATAAGACAGATGCATATATATTGAAAAATTAATAATAATAATTATATTCGGAATAATTAACAGCCAGGTGGACCGGGCTCTGATAAGTTGCGTGCTGTTTCTGTACCAAAAGTTGATTTAAAAAAATGCCAAAACATATATTCATTTGGTCAAATGAAACTAAGAGAAGGGGAAATTTGTTATGGAGTCAATAAAAGAAGAGATGTTCGCGATAAGTGTCAAGTATGGAAAATTTATTACATTATATTAAATTATACTATATACATAATTAGTTATTAATAATAATTATTATTTCACATTATATTTAGAATTTTATTTTATATTAAATGTAAAGAAAAATAAATAAAAAAAATTAAAAATAAGAAGAAAATTAATAATTTTTAGGGCGATTCTGGTGGTGCACTTATTAATTCGGACAAAGTGGAAATTGGAGTAGTTTCATGGGGTGTCGATTGTGGAACGAAAGGATATCCTGGAGTTTACACTGACGTTCTCTATTTTCGTGATTGGATTAAGGAAAAAACAGGAATATAAGTCGAAAATTATGTTAACAATTCTGTATAAAAATATTTGTTTGATTAAAAGTACAAAGAAGTTATCGACTAAATTCGACAAACATTCGTTTTTTTTGTATTTTGAAAAAAATTATTTTTTAGTTTTTAGTTTATAGTAAGTGGCTATATTAATTATTTATAGCCACAAGAAAATGTCTCTTAAATATTACGCCAGATTCGATTGTAGAGAATGAGGGGACTATAAATTGTAATAAATATGTTATGGTTTATTCGCTTTAAAAAAAATTCTTTCTAAATAATTGGTAAAAATATTTACTAATTTTAATTACTAACTGATTTTTTGCATTTAAATTAGTAAATATTACTAACAAATAATAATTTCTACAAATTTATTGGCAAAATTTACTAATTCAAATGCAAACAGTCATATTTTTTTTAGATGAATAATTGAACATTATTATATATTTTTCCATAGGACATAAAATTATAGCAAAAATGTTAAACTTTAAACTTTTTAAAATTCAATAATTTGTAATTAAATTGCTACTGATTTCCTGACAAAATTTTGACTTTTTCTCCGACACTAAAAAATATTCTGATTTACTTTAAAGATGATTAGATACTCAAAAAAATATTCTATTACATTCATTTACAAATTTCTTTAATTTTAAAATTACTTAAAAATATCAATAACTTCTTTTTTAAATAAATATTTAATCATTATTATTTTTCCTTAGGACTTAAAATTTAAAAAAATTTCAAATTCAAACCTATTTGAAATTTAACATAACTTATAATAATTAAAAATGACTTTGATAAAATGATTATTTTATATTATAAAAATATTGTTAGTGTAACTTCAATACTTAAATAAATATAATAATTGAAATTCGGCGATGAGTTATATTGTTTATGAAAATAATTGTATCCCTGTAAAAAATTATATTTTTTTAACATAATTGAATTATTGCGAAGAAATTTATAAAAAATTTGGAAAATATTGACTTTCTCGAAAATTCTTATTATTTATAAAAATAATTAAATGTTGTGTAGAATTTATAGTTAAATTTTTTTTGTAAATAATTGAATTTGTTTGGAAAATTTTATTAAAATAGTAGATAATGAAAGTCATTAAATTGAAGAAAAGTTTTGAAAATAATTGAAATTTTGTCAAGATTTTTATTAAAATTTTAGAACATAAATTACTTTCAGAGGAGAATTTTATTATTTACAATGATGATTAAAATTTAGATGAGAATTTTTTTAAAGTTTTGAACATAATTGAATTTTTGCCAAGAATTTTATTACTTTTGAAAATAATTGAACTCCTACAATCGTCTTTAATTTCTCTAAAATTGAATTTTTTAAAGTGCTTTTACAGGGTGTCTAACAAGGATTGAGAAAAAAATTCCCTGACTTTTTCCCTGACTTTTTACTAATTTTATTTCTGCGCTTTCTTGAGACAAAAATATTGTAACTGACATATTTAATAATAAATTAATATCTAATGATAAAACAAACGGTAATAAAAATCTGTTAAGTTTTGTTAGAATAAAAAAATTTTTTATTCACAGAAAATTTTAATTTTTGTTTTAATTTTTAGAAATTTCCCTGACTTTTCCCTGATTAAAAAAATTCCCTGACTTCCCTGACCGTTAGACACCCTGTTTTAACTAAAATTATTCTACAAATCCATTATTTTTAATAATTAATTAAATATGTATTAAAAATTTTAACTAATTTCAAAATTTGAATTATTAAAATTTTTCAAAAATCTAAGTTGATTAAAATTTCTAAAATTAAATTCATTCAAAATTAAAATTTTATAAAATTTCGAATTATAACTTTGTGAAGTTCATTTATTTACATGAAAATTTTAAACGCAACTCTTTTAAAATTCTATGAATCTTGAAACATATAAATAAAATTATTCATTAAATAATTTATAAGTAATAATTTTATGAGAGTTCTTAAAGAATTAATTTATTAAAAAAGAAATTATTGTCAAAAATAGAAAAAATTAATGGTTTTCTATTAGAATTCGTGGTAATTTTTCATAGTTTATGAGGAAAACAAAAAAAACACCAAAATTCAGAATTTTCTTTTGAATTCTAAAAATTAAATTTTTTCCAGTACTTTTAAATTTATAATCATTAAAACTTGCTAATTTGTTACTGTAACTTCTTCAAAAATTATTTTCATCATTTCGATTATTCACTACTAGAATTTTCAATTTAAATTCTTCTGTAAATCAATTTTTTTCAATCATTTTTGAAAAAGTTCTTTGAGGATTTTCAAATCCTTTTGTTTACAATTTAATTTTACGAAATTTCGATTATTCTGACATTCTTCAATTAAATATATTAAAAAATAAAAAACTTCAAACAATTAAAAAAATTACACTAAACTTTTTGAAAAAAATTAGTTCTACAGGATTCTTAATTAAAAGTATGAAAATTTCAAATTGAGGAGGTCAATCAAATAACTCGATATACGCTCGGCTGAAACGCTGAGAGGCCAGTCAGCCAGGTCAAAATTTTTTAATTTAAAACTTAATTAAATTTCTAAACACAAATTTTTTGGTTTTTTATTTTTGAATATGAGAAATATTAACTTTACAAAAAAAATTAATTGAGAAAAAATATGTATTTTTTATGATCTACAAGATACCGTTCTTTAAAAACAAAAATTTTGAGATTTCATTTTTCTCACTTTTGATCCGGCTGACTGGCCTCTCTCTCTCAGCGTTTCAGCCGAGCGTAAATCGAGTTATTTGATTGACCTTCTCAATTTTCAAAGATTTTAATTTGAAACTTTTTGAAAATTAAATTATTTCTAAAAATCCACGCTTTCACTATTCAACTATAATCTAAAATTTTATCTGAAACACATTTTTAAATCAATATCTATTAGAAAATTCTACGAGAATTCAATTATTTAAATACAAAAATAAATATTTTATTATATTGAATGTTTCTTAAAATTGCATTTTTATTTAAACAATTTTTCCAACAAATTTTTAAATATGGGAGAATGGGGTAACCCCGAACACTAAAGCTTCCCCCACAGCACCGAAACTTTCCTAAAAATTTATTAAATATTTACTTGCAATATTCGTCATATTTAACTGAAAACTTTAGTGAAAATTGTGTAAAGATTTAAATGTCCCGATTAAATAAATGTTTAGCGCGAAGCTTTCCTGAACATTTTCTGAACATGAAATTAAGTTTTCGCATAGTTATAATTATAATTATAATTATGTGAAGATTTTATTGAAAAAATGTTCAGGAAAGCTTCGCGCTAAACATTTATTTAATCGGAACATTTAAATCTGTACACAACTTTCAATAAACATTGCAATTAAATATTCCGAATATTGCAAGTAAATATTTAATAAATTTTTAGGAAAGTTTCGGTGCTGTGGGGGTTTTTGGTTTTTAAGTTTTTTGAAAATAAGAAATAAAAAAACTGAGTCAATATTTCAAAAATAAAAGTTAATCTGTATTATATTAAGTATCATTTATAATTTATTTCGCATAAACTTAATTAAAAATAATAATAATAAAAATTTATTAAAAAATAATTGAAACTCTGTGAAGAATTTTATTATTTATGAAAATAATTGAATTCTTGCAACGAATTTTATTATAATTTTTGTAAATAATTTAATTTTTTTTTTTTGAAAAATTTTTATAAAACATAAATTATTAACATTATTATATTAGAAATTAAGAGTTTCCGGGCATACTTGCTGTCCGGGGCCAAGAATTTTATTAAAATAATTTTAGAAAATAATTGAATTTTGTGATAAGAATTTTTGCAATCATTTTTAATTGATTCAAAATTAAATTTGTTTTAGTCTAAAATTCTTCTATAAATTCATTATTTTTAATAATCAATTATATATATTATACTAGAAAATTTAACTAATTTCAAAAGAATTTTAGTTATTAAAATTTTTTTTAAATCTAGGTTTTTTAAAATTTTTAATTAAATCAAAATTCCCTGACTTTTCCAGGTTTTTTCAAGGTATATAAAATTCTCTGACATTTCCAGGTTGCGTAGCAACCCTGACTGTTAATTATTTATAAAAATTTTAGTCGCAACTCTTATAAAATTAAATTACTTTTTGAATTTTTAAGTAAAATTATTTATAAATTATAATTTCATGATAGTTCTAATAAATAAATTATTTTAAATGAAAATTTTATATTGAGCAAAATATTCTTATGGAAAAAATCAAGAGAAGATCAATTATAGAAAAAGATAATTTTTAGAAACAAAAATGTAATTTAAATAAATTAAATTTTATGGAAATTTTAATTGTTCCAGAGAATTTCAATTATTATTATTTCATTACAATAGTTCTTGTTATTATTCTTTATATTATTATTACTTTTAAAAAATAATAAAATGAAAGAGTATGAAAATAAAATCTGACCTCGGAAACATCAAAGTCCCTGATTGCTTTTACTTTTGGACATTGTGTATTATCATCATCCTCGTCACTTTTCCAATATGAGCTGATTGTTATTCTCGGAAAATTGAAGATTATTATTAAAGCAACACAAACGAAAATATTGAGGCACTTTATTCCTGAAGTCATACTTGTTCCGTAGAGACTTTCATGCCGCAGTTAAGCGCACGAGTCCACTGTATCGTTTAAGACTTTCTGGCCTATAGCTAAATGTCTGAGCTGAACTAAACTAAAAAATAAAAGAAGGAAGCATCATCAAGACCAACAACTCTCCTCTGACTTTAAAGGGAGAGAGAAAGAGAGACAAGAAGGGAGAGCATGACCACTATCTCCCTTCCTTCTCCTTTTTGCATTCCACTTTCGTCGTCGTGCCGTTCCATTCGTTTTCAATCGCTAAGTTATTCTACACGCTATTCTATACACACTTACTTACACAAACTTAACTCCCCCGCAGTGCGTTACCATCCCATGAATACGTAAATTGCTCATTTCAAAGCAAATAACAATACGATGAATTTTGAAAAGATACAGTTCAACTTCGTGTATTAGCTTCGTTCTCATTTCAACATTTTAGTAAGTTTCCTTCTCGATAAGGCACTTTTTCTTCTTCTGAAAAGATTCTAACAATTGAACAGTGTCGAACAATATTTCGTGGCTAAAGGAAATTTTTCCTCACTGCGGTGTAAAAAAAATTGTTTCTTCAAAATTTGCCAATCGGCATTAATTTTGTTCTACTTTTTTTTTATTTTTGCTTAAATCCCTTAAATCAAATAATTAATGAAGTAGGACGAAAAAATTCAAATTTCAGGGCTCGAACCAGTGAAAGTATTCAAAAATACGGACTTTACGGACCAAAAATGAAAAATTACGAACCATTTATGGACCAATTGCGGACAAACATATATAACTAAGTAGTTAGAGTCAAATAAGAGAACATTTTACTTAAAACTATATAAATTAAATTTTTCATAACTTTTTATAATTTTTCATTCGAAGACTCGGAGTTATCGATATCTTCATGTTTTATAATAATTAAAGATGTCACAGTAATAAAATTATTATTTTTAACAATTTTTAACTAAAATTCTTCTTAAAATCGATTATTTTTAATAATTTTCGAAAAAGTTCTTTAACAATTTTCAAATCCATTTGTTTACAATATTCAATTTTACCAAATTTCAATTATTCGTAAATTCTTCAATTAAATATGTATTAGAAAATAAAAACTTCAAATAATATAAAAAAAATCCGCAATTAAACTTTCTCAAAAAAATTAATTCCACAGAATTGATAGTTAAAAATATGAAAAATTCAAATTTTCAAAGATTTTAATCTGAAACCTTTTCAAAATTCAATTATTTCTAAAAATTTATGCTCTAAATTAATGCTTTTAATAATCAATTATAATCTTAAATTTTAACTGAAATCCATTTTTAAATTAATTTTTATTAGAAAATTCAACCAGAATTCAATTATTTAAATACAAAAAAAAACAATTTATTGAATAATTGCATGTTTCTTAAAACTGAATTCTCATAAAGAATTGTATCAATAAATTCTTAAATAATTGAATTTCTTTTACAAATTTTAATAAAATTTTTAAGAATAATTACATTTTTTCGAGGAATTCAATTAAAATTGTATTAAAAATAATTGAAATTTTGCAATGAGTTTTATTATTATTTATTAAAATAATTGAATTCCTAATAAGAATTTTATTATTTACCAAAATAATTGAATCCCTGTAAAAAATTTGATTTATGAAAATAATTGAATGATTGCGAGGAGATTTATAAAAAAATTTGTAAATAATGAAATTCCTGAGAAATTTTTATTATTTTTTGAAAATAATTAAAGGTTTGTGTAGAATTTTCTTAAATTTTTTTTTAATAATTGAATTAAAAAGATTTTCTTTTAAGTTTTTAAGATAATCGTGTTTATCATTAATTGTGATGAATAATTTTCCTATATTAAATTATATTAAAATTATTCATAGATAATTAAATTCTTTTAAATAATTTTATAAGAGTTTTTGTAAATAATTACATTTTTTCAAGAATTTCATTAAATTTCGTAAAAATAATGTAATTTTTTAAAATAATTTTAATTGTAAATTTTGAAAATATTTGAAATTTACAAAGAATTTTATTAAAAACTTTTGAGAAAAATTGAATTGTTTAGAAAAATTTTATTACAATTTTTAAAAATAATTAAACCTTTTGTTGTAATTGAAAACAATTGAATTCCTCCGAAGCATTTTATTTTTTATGAAAATAATTGAATTCCTTTGTAGAATTTTATTATTTATGAAAATAATTGAATGCTTGCGAATAATTTTACAATTCATAAAAATAATTGATTTTAAATATTGATTCAATTCATTTTAAATAATTGAATTCTTTTGGAAAATTTTATTAGAATAGTAAATACCTGTTAAAAATCATTGAATTGGGGAAAATTTTTGAAAATAATTGAAATTTTGACAAGAATTTTATTACAATTTTTGAAAATAATTGAATATTTCGGAGAAGAATTTAATTACTTCCAAAGATAATTGAAATTTTGTCGAAAATTATTTAAAAAAATTTTTGAACATAATTGATTTTTTGCCAAGAATTTTATTACTTTTGAAAATAATTGAATTCCTACAATCATTTTTAATTTCTCTAAAATTATCCAAATTATATCGAACAATTCACGGACTTTATGGACCTTTTTTCAAAAAAACGGACCTAGTTCGAGCCCTTAAATTTACATCCGGTCACTAATTAGCGAATTCAATTTTCAAAAATATAAAATAGATTCTATATTTTCGAATAACTTCCTAACAAAATTAACAGAATAAAAAATAATGAGCTGAGAAATTAATAAAAAAACAATTTCCATTTGTAGATTTAACAGAATCAAAAATTAATATTTAATTATTTATGCTGGTTATATGTGATTAAAAGTAATTTTTTTATTTCTGCAATTTGCGTCGACGTTGTAAAATTTTCTCTGAAGGTAGTAAAATTTGACAGAAATTGCAAACAATTTTTTTTTTTTTTGTGTTTCAACAATTTTTTTTTGAAGAGCGTAATTCAAAGGGAAATAAACGTTGAGCCATTTTGTGAAAATAGTGAGTGAAAACATTAAAAGAGAAATAGTTCCATAAACTCTGAATTATAAAAACAAAATTCATTTTTTAATTGAGTTATATTTGCCTTCTACAGTCTTCTGTAAGTTGTGTTTTTATCAAAAATCTTTAGAAATTACGTTCCTTAATGTAAAAAACTAATAAACCATTCTTCATTTTATTGCTCACTTCTTCGGAATACAATAAAATTTCAATTATTATTAATATCAGACGAGAAACTTCAAAAGATTTCATTTCATTCAATTTTTATTTGTTTGTGAATTTATTAATTTTTCTCTGTCGAGAAAATAATATTCCTTCTTCTTCTTTATCTTATTTTTTTCTACTTTCCATATTTGAATGTTACCAATCTTTTTTATTCAAGCATTTTTTTAAATTTAATTTGTGTGCATTTTTAAAAATACGAAATAATCGCAAATTGGTGAATTTTTTCTCCTCACTCATAATTTAGGACCACCCATTAAGAGGCCTGTAGTCATCATTCATAGACGGGAGATTTGAATCATAAAGATCGACCCCCACTGTCTCGACATTATTTATTAATAGAACTGTGTCCTTAATTCTAAGAGGGGCTTAAGAATCTCCATTCATATCTGGTCCATGTCTTGAAATATTCGAAATAGAAAATTGGCTAATATTCTTCAAAGCTTGCTACTTTTTTTTTATCTTATCGTCAATAATATTAATTCTCATCTAAATGACATAAATTTTTCCTCATTTGATTATTTTCTATTTTGTTAGAAAATATAATTGTTAAGAAAATTGAAAATAGTAAATCAGTTTTTAGTGTTAAATTATTATCAATTAAGTTTCATACAATTAAGTCTAATTTCGACAATTAAATACATAAATGCTTTCTTGTTGATGTGCTATTTTCCATTATTATTCCAGAAACACTGCGAATAACAACGAATCAGCAGCGTTTGTAACGTTAGTAATCGGGAATACCATCTCGTGCTAATAGAACGTGGCGCACATACAAATGTGTTTTAGATTTCCTTTTGTTCTTCCTATCGCTATACAGATTTACAAACTGCTTACTCATCACATCCTTTCCCCCTCTCTCTCTCACTTTTCTAAATGAGTATTTTCGGCAACTCCGGCTCTTCTAATGTTTATTCAACTATTTTTATTTTTCTTCATTATTTTTTTTTCCTGCCTCTGTGAGTTTTTCTTTCTCCCTCTTCTTGTTGTCGTTGATGTTGTTCAAGAAAAAAATTAAGTACCCATTTGAAACACCATGACCTTATAGTGTAATATTTTTGGTACCGGATGACATTTATTATTTTTGTGTAATTATATATACACGATTCGGACTTCCTCTGTACAAAAATAGTTGCAAAGATAAAGTCTCACGTATTCGCAATAAAACAAACATTTAGAGATTATTTCAAAGCTGATTAATTTTTTATTTTTCCTGTAAAAGAATGCAAATTATAACAAAAGATAACTAGGAAAATTGTAATAATAACAGGGTTGCCACAGGTCAGGGCAACAATTTACAATTTACAATTTTCATAAATACTAGATTGATAAAAGAATTTTAGTTAAAAATACTAAAAAAATTTAATTTTGGAAAAGTTACAAATAATTCCAGAAATTCTAATTATATTCAAAAATTAAAAAAAATTCTGGTCATTTCAATTATATCGACGCCCCCCGACTATAAAATGTTTATTCAAATCTCCGTGCAATAAAATGTTAACTCAGAAATTCGTGCTGTATAATTGTTTTTAAAAATTTCATGCAATATAATGTTAACTCAAGTTGCATTCAATAAAATGTCAATTCAACCACCAGTGCAATATAATGTTATTGAAAATACTAAAAGTTTTATTTCTAGCCTTTAAATTATATGAGGTTAAAGAAAAACATAATTAGTGAATTTTTCTTGCGAAAGTGAAAAAGTTATGTTATAAATATTTTTTACTTATACTAAATTAATTAGGAAAATGAAAGAATAAAATTTATTTAATTCTAACTTTGAAAACTATTTTTATTAAAATTATAAATATTTAAAAATATTAAAATTACTTTAACAGTCCCTTTTTTGAATTTAGTTTTCCATTTTGTAGCAGTTTTTAACGCTGTACATATATAATAACTCTTTTTTTCAACCAATTGGTCTGCTGAAGAAAAACCAAACTGTTTGTTTAAAGAGTGGAAAACTATGCAGATATTTCACCATAAAAAAATAATCTTTTATTCACCATTCTGCATTACTGACTTTTTTTTATAAAAACTTAACCCATAAATAAGGAACTATACGAATATTATTGTGCTGTCAACAGTTGCAACTTCAATCTATTTAAGTAATTTAATAAATAAATTAATAATCTAATTTAACCTCATACAATTTAAAGGCTGGAAATAAAAATTTTAGTATTTTAAATAACATTGTATTGCACTGGTGGTTGAATTGACATTTTATTGAATACAACTTGAGTTAACATTATATTGCATGAAATTTTTAAAAACAATTATACAGCACGAATTTCTGAGTTAACATTTTATTGCACGGAGATTCGAATAAACATTTTACAGTCGGGGGGCGTCGATATCTTTAAAAATAATAAAATTCTTCTCCAAAATTCAATTATGTTTAAAAATTTTTTAAAAATTCTCGTCAAAATTTCAATTATTTTTATAAATAATACAATTCTTCTACGAAATTCAATTATTTTTAAAAACTTTAATAAAATTCTTGGCAAAATTTCACAGTAATTCAATAATTTATAAAATTTTTAATAAATTTCTTTGAAATAATTCAATTATTCTCATAAATAATAAAATTTTCACAGGAATTCAATTATTTAATATAAAAAATTTCAAAAAATTTTCCGAAAAATATCAATTATTTAAAAAGATTTAAAAAATTCGTCGCATGAATTCAATTATTTAAAAAAGAATTAACAAAGTTCTTTTCAAGGATTCAATTATTTTTATAAATAATACAATTCTTCACTGAAGTTCAATTATTTTAGAAAAATTTTAATAAAATTTTTGGGAAAAGTTTTAATTATTTTCATAAATAATAAAACTTATCGCAGGATTTTAATTAATTTTTGAAACAATATTTTAATCAAATTCCTCGATAAATGTAATTATTCTTAAAAATTTCATTAAAATTTGTCAAAATAATTGAATTATTTAAAAATTTGTTGATAAAATTCTTTATGAGAATTCAATTTTAAGAAACATTCAATTATTCAATAAATTATTTATTTTTTAATTTAAATAATTGAATTCTTCTAGAATTTTCTAATAAAAATTGATTAAAAAATGAATTACCGAATAATCGATTTATTATTTTTGAAAATAAAAATTGCAACGAATTTTATTACAATTTTTTCAAATAATTAAATTTTTTTGAGAAAATTTACTACTTTTTAAAAATAATTGAATTCTTGCGAAGGATTTTATTAGGATTTTTGTAAATAATAACATTTTTTTAAGGCGATCATGAAGAAGGCGATCACTCCGAGTCGAAGTAATAATATTCTTATGAATTGTTGAATTTCAAAAAGGTTTGAATTTGAATGTATTGAAGAATTTTAATTCCTACGGAAAAATAATAATGATTAAATATTTATTTAAAAAGAAATTATTGATGTTTTTGAATAATTTTATAATTAATGAAATTTGTAAATAAATGTAATAGAACATTTTTTTGAGTTTCTAATAATTTTTAGAGTGAATCAGAATATTTTTTAGGGTCAGGGAAAAAGTGAGAATTTTGTCTGAAAATCAGGGAAAAATAAAATTAAATATTTGTGGCAACCCTAAATAAAAAAAAGTTTTATTTCATTAAACAAAAGGTTGAATGAAAAAGTATATTTTTAAAGTTAAAATTAAAAACCAAAAAGAAAATTAATTCATTTTCTTTCTTCTTTTAAGGTTTTTATTGGTTCATACACGAAATTTCAACTTTTACAATGGTAACTTAATGTGTGGAAGACTTGCAAAATAAATTACTAATTATTATTCAAAAAACGGAAACAAATTTCCAGCAGATAAATTTTATATCAAACCGACAAACTTATCAAATATCCTTTTCCTCTATTCTAACATTCACATTAATTGTGAAGTTTGTCTTATACAATATTTATAGTTTTAAATTCAATATTAATCCTACGCATAGTTAAAATTAAAACAAATATTTAAATAATATAAGAGATGAAAAAATATATTAGTATAAAATTTGTCATAAAATAAACAGAATTAACAAAAAATAAATTAAGTCAATGATTAATTTTCATATTTAAAAAAAAAGAATCAATTATTTCAAAGTTAATTCGTCTCAAAAATTTAATACTCTAAAAATTACTATCTACTTATATTAAAAATACAAATTATTTTATTAAAAACATTTTTGTTTTATAAAAATTTGTACAAATGTTTAAAAAAATGTTTTATAAATTTTCTCCTTTTTTTCTTTCTGGTTAAATAGAATTACAACTATTTTAGATGTAACATAAAATCTACCTCGTCAATGCCTTCGTCCAAGGATAAGATCCTTTGAAAGTCCTGTCATTTCCATGGAGGTTTTGTTTTTGATGGATCTAATTTCTGATGTATTTTCTGAGGGACCGGGAAATATTCACTTTCATCATGAATACTTGGCTGAAAAAAAATTATTTTAATATTTAATAACCACTCAGAAATATAATTTCCAGTTGGAAAATTATTTTTTTTTCTCGAAATCTTACCTCAGAAAGGGGTTGCCATGTAATACTGTCTTCGCTTAAAATACTCAATTCTTTCTTCGAATAATGCTTTCTTGGAAAATCTTTGCCCATGTCATTTTCGGTAAATTTTGCTTTTGTAAAATCATCCCTTGATTGTTGCATATCTAATATCTGAGTAGAAAACATGCACATTTTCAAGTGTGTATTAAAATTGTATAAAGTAAATAATTAATGAATAAATCATTATTTTATAAAACTCAAAGAACTAGAAAAATAAATTTTTTATCTTTTCATGATAATTATCAAAATCATCCAAGTCCACAATTATATTTATCTTTTTATGCTTAACATGATTTGTAAAATGTTGCAATTTGCAAATGTTACGCGCGAAACGAGATATTTAATTTATTATATTATTATGCATATTACAAAATTTTTTATTTTCAAATATAAATTTTTGAATAATGTCATAATGAAAATTTTAAAAAAACATTTATTAAGTACATAATTATTTATTATTGTTTGTAGTTTCAAAAATCAAAATTGAAAAAAAAAACACTTATTAAGTACATAATTAATTATTATTGTTTGTACATTCAAAAATTTAAATATAATTCTTCACAAGAATTCAATGATTTTCATAAATACCTAATAACATTCTTTAAAAGAATTTAATTATTTTTATAAATAATAAATTTTTTTACCAAAATTCAATTTTTTTAAAACCTTTAATAGAATTTCAAGAAAAAATTCAATTATTTTCTAAAATTTTCAAAAATCCTTCGAAACAATTCAATTATTTTTATAAATAGTAAAATTTTTTGCAAAAATTCAATTATACTTTTAATAAATATTCTTTGCTAAAATTCAATAATTTTCAATAAGATTTCACGAAACAATTAAATTCAATTTTTTTTCTTAATATGTTATACAATTTTTCAAAAGAATTCAAGTTTTTTTTAATTTTTAATAAAATTTTTTAAAAAATTTAATTAGGGTAAGTGTGCCAATTATGGCGCGGTTCTGGTTTAGCCGTCTTTGAAATAGAAAATTCAAAAATTATAATGAGAGAAGTAAATTTATGGCTTATTAAACAAAAAGCTAGTGTCATTCAGATAATAAAACATTAGTAAAAACTTTATAAAAATTAATTGTTTAAACAAATTAAAGCAATAAAAAATAAAATCAAAAACGTCAATTATGGCGCGATTGAGTCAATCTTGGCGCGCCAATTACGGCGAGAAAAATAACGTGTATTTAGAGGTTATGTTGCGCGCCATAACTGAAGCACGTGCATTCAATAAAAATGTGCCAATTATGGCGGGGCGCAATTTTTGTTATTAAATAATTAAATTAATAATAGTTTAAATGTGTTTCTTTTCGTACAATGATATCGAGTTAGGTCGAAAATAACTTTTTCAAACATTTTCAAATAACTAAATTATTCTAAAATAGTAAATAATTGTATTTTTCACAAAGTCGCCATAATTGGAGCACCCGCCACAATTGACGCACTTACCCTATTTTCTATATTTTAATAAAATTCCTTAAATTAATTAAATTATGTATTTTAGAAAATTGTAATAAAATTCTTGTCAAGAATTCAATAATTATTTTCATAAATAATAAAATTCTTCGGAGAAATTCAATTATTCTTAAATTGTTTTGATAAAATTCTTTGCAAGAATTCAATTATTTTCATAAATAATATAATTCTTCAAAGAAATTCAATTATTCTTAAATTTTTTGATAAAATTCTTTCCAAGAATTCAATGATTTTCAAATATTAATTTTAAAATTGAAGTTACATATTTAAAAAACAAATTATTAAAAAAGGTAGGAAACAAAGAAGCAAACAAAAACTAACTTCAAACTGTAAACAGATTACCGGAATATAACGATTATTAATATAGATTTTAGTGGTTTGTTATTATACATTTTATTAAATATTTGAAGTCCTCTTGAAATATTTTCTGTATTATTTTATTGAAAAGAAAAAAATAATTTGTCCTATTTTTTGGCATTACTATTATTATTATTATTATTATTTTTATTGACATATTTTAATGTTTTAATTGATCTTTAATATAAATATAATATTCAATATGCAGCAATTAATTGAATTAATTGCATATTGAATATTATTATTATTATTATTATTATTAAAATTAATATTATTTACTTATGTGAATTTATAATTTAGTAAAAATTATAGTTAATTTTTTTAAAATTTATTAGGTATTATGTATTATTATTAGTTATCTTTTTTATTTGCATTATTTTTGATTGGTAACTTATACTTTGAAATAGTTTTATTATTAACAAATTTTAATTAGTAAATTTCTAGGTACTATTAATTTAATTAATTAGATTTCAAAACTTCTTAAAAGTTCTTGTCTAATTGTTTGTATTTTATTATTCATTTTCTTTTGCAAATATTAATACATGAAATATTATAAATGAAATTAACTAAAATTAAACATAATCAATAATAGTAATAAAATTAATAGTAAAAGAAATAAATAATAAAAAAATACGACTATAGAAATAAAATTCATTAATACCTCTAGAAAAATTAACGAAATTTAGAATTCAACGAACCATTTTGATATATTTACGAAGATCGTTTTTTGAGTCTTTCTTATTGCAATTGGCTGGCTCTTCGTTTGATGTTAATGTAATTAAACTGTCATTATGTTCCTCTTGTGCATGTAAGCCTTGAAAATGTTTAGCATGAAATTGATTTGTATTAATATGATGTGATTCAAGTTTCATTGGTTCGGCATTCATCGGTTGTTTTATTTCAAAATAATTCTCAGCACTAATCCTTTGAAGAGAGGCAACACTCTCACCATTTCCGCCTGTGAGTAAAAATGATTATAATTTTTTTAATTTACTAATTTCTAAAATAATCTATGAATTAATTAAACTATAAATTAATTAAATTGTAAATTATCTGAATTTATCAGTTAATTAAAAGTTAATTTTATTAATCTATGAATTAACTGACTTTTAAATCTTGTGAATTAATTAATATTTATAATTAATATTCATTTGAATATTGTTTTTTGTGAAATTGATTTTGTTATTCATGAATAATTGTGAGATTATTTGGTTGTTTTGAAGGTACTTTTTTCGATCAGAATATTTGGATTATGTATTAAGTGACAAAAATTATACCGGAAATTATGCGTAAAGCTTGTTGCCACTGGTTTTGCATAACAGAGTGAAGTTGTTCGGCTAAATGATTTTTACTCGCTCGTTGAGTATTCAATTGTGATTCCAACATTGCTGATTTCTGTACTACTTGTGCTAATTGAATTTCGCATAATCTCTTCTCTTCCTTATGTTTCTCTTCCAATAGTTTCACTTCCAACTGATGTCTGCAAATTTAAACCAATTAATAGGATTTAACGCAATTTATACACGAAATTTTCATGTATTTATTTGATTTTAATTCTTTTGATTAATTTATTTTTAATTCTTTCAATTAATTTTCATTTGTTATTAATTAAAATAAATAATGAAATTTTTTAAATTCTATTTATTTAAAATTTTTTAAATATTAAAATTAATAAGTCGAAAGATTTATTAATTTTAATAACGTTCACTTTCTGTTCTATATCACTTTTTGTGCTGTGTATTAATTTATTTTAAGGAACCATGTAGCCATGTGTTTTTGGTGCAAATTATAAATTTAGATTACAACAACGAAGATATACACTTACTTGTCAATAACGCTTTTTATTTTTCTAGCTGCGCATTCAGCTATCGCTCGTTGTCTTGTTTCGAATTCAGCCTGAAATGATGCTTCTGCTGTATCGAGTTGAGTTTGAAACTCTTGTAATTTAGATTTCACTACATCATCCACTTGTTTCTGATATATTTCTCGGAGTTCTGCTTTGATTTTATCCTGCTGCTGATTCAACGATTTAATTTCATCCTTGGCTAATTTCTACGAAGATAAAAAAAACGATACTTTAATATTTTTTCGAATCCCAGAGAAAATTATTAAACGAGAAAGAAGAAGAAGAAGAAAGTTTTTTTCATAAAAAACTAAGTAGAGTTTAATTTAGAAATTAAAAAGAATTCGCGCACTTACGCGAGCGGCTAACTTTTTACTCGCTTTTTTAAATAAAATTAGTAATTTTAAAAATAATAGAACGTAAAAATTTTTAATTCAAATTTATTTTCATAAAAATAAAATATGAATTGGAATATAGTTTTAATATTAAATTATAACTATAATATCATATATTCTGACATAGGGAATTTAGGGAAAAGTTAGGGATTTTTATTAAAGGTATTGAAAAAAATTAAATTTTTAGAATTCATACAAAAATTCTGAATTTTTGTGTCTTTTTTTGCCTCATAAACTACGAAATTACCACAAATTATAATAGAAAACCTTCAATTTTTTCAATTTCTGTAAATAATTTCTTTTTATATACCTAATATAACTTAAATCTTGAACAACTATCATAAAATACTGACGTATAAATTATTGAATTAATAATTTTTCTTTAATATTTCAAAATTAATTCAATTTTTAAAGAGTTGCGTTTATAATTTTCATAAGTAAGTGAACTTTAAACGGTTTCAATTTGAAATTTTATGAAATTTCAATTTTAAATAAATTTAATTTGTAATTTTAAAGAACTTAAATGTTTAAAAAATTTTAATTAATTCAAAATCTTTTAAAATTAGTTAAATTTGTCAATATATATTTAATTAATTATTAAAAATAATGGATTTATAGAAGAATTTTAGTTAAAAACACTAAAAAAATTGAATTTTGAAGAAGTTACAAATGAGTGCAGAAATTCAATTACTTTCAAGAGTAATAAAATTCTTATCACAAAATTCAATTATGTATGTTCAAAATTTATAAAAAAAAAATCTCGTCAAAATCCCAATTATCTTTATAAATAATAAAATTCTTCTTCAAAATTCAATTATTTTCAAAAATTTTAATAAAATTCTTGTCAAAATTTCAAGTATTTTCAAAAATTTCCCTCATTTCAATAATTTTTAATATCTCTATTTTAATGAAACTACCCAAAAGAAATCAATTATTTAAACAAAATTTTAATAAAATTGTACGCAAACATTTAATTAATTTCATAAATAATAAAAAATTTCACAGGAATTCAATTATTTTCATAAATAATAAAACTCATCGCAGAATTTCAAATATCTCTTATTATATTAAGTTGAAGAACGACCGACCGACCGACCGACCGACCGACCGACCGACCGACCCTAGCCGTATATATATGTATATCTTTTAAAAATAATATTAACACAAATGTATACATATTCACAATGTCACGCATGCGCAGTAGTGTTCTGTCAATGTTACGCATGCGCAGTAGTGTTCTGTCAATGTTACGCATGCGCAGTAGTGTTCTGTCAATGTTACGCATGCGCAGTAGTGTTCTATCACTGTTACGCATGCGCAGTAGTGTTCTGTCAATATTACACATGCGCAGTAGTGTTCTATCACTGTTACGCATGCGCAGTAGTGTTCTGTCAATATTACACATGCGCAGTAGTGTTCTGACAATATTACACATGCGCAGTAGTGTTCTATTAGTGCCACGCATGCGCAGTAGTGTTCTGTCAATATTACACATGCGCAGTAGTGTTCTGTCAATATTAGGCATGCGCAGTAGTGTTCTGTCAATATTACGCATGCGCAGTAGTGTTCTGTCAATATTACGCATGCGCAGTAGTGTTCTTTAAATATCAGGCATGCGCAGTAGTGTTCTATGAATATCAGGCATGCGCAGTAGTGTTCTATCAATGTCAGGCATGCGCACTATTGTTCTATGAATGTCAGGCATGCGCAGTAGTGTTCTATCAATGTGAGGAATGCGCAGTAGTGTTCTATGAATATCAGGCATGCGCAGTAGTGTTCTATGAATATCAAGCATGCGCGCATAACACCCACACATGTATACTCACACATATACACTAATCACATGTACATGTATACTCACACATGTTCATAAATTACATACACATGTATACTGCTCATATGCAGATATAAACTCCTACATATACACAAATCACATATATGTATAGATTTAATAAACGATTGATAATATAAATTGTTGAATTTTTTAAGGTTCGTTGATGCACGTAGTGTCTGTTGAAATTTTTTTAAATATACGTAAATACCTCACTCGCTAATGCTGCGCTGTCTGTGTTGTAATGGAACTTATTTATTTACTTGTGTATTTACTTATTTATTTCAGGGTTGCCACAAGACATCGATTTTAAAATTCCATGACTTTTCCAGGTTTTCCAGACCATTTCTTAAAAAATTCCAAACCAGAAATAAAATTGTTTTGGTATGTTTTTAGCTAATTACGACAAAAAGTATAAAATCCTTTAAGTAAATTGTTAACAAAATAAGTTATTAATTTTTAATTTCATTATTAACAAAAAATTAAGTAGGTTATTTGAGATACGCTCCGAAGAAAGATGAGGAGCAAATCTTTTTAAATTTAAAAATTTAGTTAAGTTTAGAATTTTTCACAATTATTAAACCAGTATTTTAAAAAGCATTTTAATAACATTTTATGAAACTGAAGTTACCTACGTTTATTCAATGACAATTTTTTCTTTGCTAATTATTTATTTTAATGTTAGAAGCCTTTTAAAAAGTTTTAAAAGATCGAAGTCGGGGAAATTATTAATTTTGATTTTTTACACAGATTTTCGAAAAATCCATATATTATTTAAACAAAATTATTATTTCCTCACCTCATAAGCAATTTTTTCTTTTACAAATTATTTATTTTAATGTGACAAGTCATTTAAAAAAATTGTAAGAGGATCTAAGGAAGGCAAGGAAATTAGTGATTTTTAATTATTTTTTCGTAGATTTTCCAAATATCCCGAAATTTTAACTAAATTATTATTTCCTTGCTTCAGAAGCAATTTTTTTCGATTGCAATTTTTTAAAGGGCTTCTTACATTAAAAAACAATTAGCAAAAGAAAAAATTTTCATTGCATAAAAGTTGGTAGCTTCAGTTTCATAACATTTTGGGGTTTCTAAAATGTATTAATTTAAAAATTATTTAAAGGAAGATAGAGACCAAAAGAAACTAAAATTCAGAAATGCCATATTGATTTCAATTGTAAGCACTAAATTTAAAATCAAAAAGTTGTATGTCAACTTGAAAACTTGAAATTTTTACGACTCAAATACAAAAAATTGAGCTTTTAGTATCAGGCTTTATATAATTCCCTGACAATTCCAGATTTTTCAGGTTTTCCATGACTGAAAAAAAATTCCATGACAATTCCGGGTTTCCCAGGTTTTCCAGGTCCGTGGCAACCCTGTATTTGTTTGGCAGACATCAACAATAATTTTTTAAATGGATAATCAGTGAAAAATGACTTATATTTCTGTAAGTTAGTGTTTCACTTCGATCCGCGAATTTCATTTTTTCGAGCGATTATTTGGTTATCGTCTTTGGTTTTCAAACGATCATCTTGTTTATTCTTTTGTTAATTGTCAAATCGTATCGTCTAATTTTCTAATTGTCATCGACCGAACTTCTCGACTTTCCCATAACTGACAACTAAAAATAATACAATAATAACCTATTTTTTGAAAAAAATCGATATCCAAAAACATTTAAATTCTTTTTTATTAATTCTATTAAAAACTAAAATTAAATTCATTTTAGTGAATTAAAATTATTATATCAAGTTAAAAATTAATTCAAGGTGTCTAGTGAATTATTATTTTTAAATTCCCGGACCAAAAATAAATATTCCCGGATTGATTTTTTAAAACAGCAATTACTATAAAATTTAAATATTAATACTTTTAATAAAGAAATTTTTAAGAAAATCATTTTTAAAAAGTCAATAGACATCTTTATTTAGAGAAATATATATAATATTACTTGTTATATATTACTTAATAAATCTATAACATTGTAATAGTTGGATCTAAATTTAAAATTAACCTACTTTTTTATTTTTCTATTAGTTGGGCTTTTTTGCGGAGTATTATTATTATTTTTAATTGTGTATTTAAATAATAAAAATTAAAAATAATTATTTTTAATTTTTATTATTAAAAAAAAAAAGTTGTCTGTTCATTGAACAAGACCTACATGTCTTATAGTATTTTGGCCCCGTGAATACGAATATGAAGTCAGAATTGCTCCATCACCCTCTGTTTTCTTTTAAATCGAAAAAACTACCCTTAAGTCTAAAATTCAAGAATTAAAGTAAAAAAAAATAAAAAAACGGCTTTCTTCGGAGTAGAAGAATATATTTATGCGTTTTCTTCTTTCAACAACTCAAATAATGTCAAAATTGCTCCACCACCCCTACTTTTTTTTAAATCGAAGAAAGTACCCTTAAATCTAAAATTCAAGAACTAAAGTGAAAAAAAATGAAATAACCGGTTTTCTTCGGAGTAGAAGAATATATTTATGCGTTTTCTTCTTTCAACAACAAATAATGATAAATTAACTCTGATTCTGCTTTTTAGTTATGAGAACAAAAATAAAGGAACGTATGCTTTTGTCTAAAACTAATTGTTTTTATTGTTGTTAGTATACTCTGGGTTCATACTTAAAGGGGTAGTTTTTTCAATATAAATCAATAAGAGGGTGATGAAGCAATGCTGATGCTTTTTTAAAAAGTACATAAATATATTCTTCTACTTTGGAAAAAACCTGTTATATCATTTTTTACTATAATTCTTGAATTTTAGATTTAAGGGCAGGGGGTGATGGAGCAATTTCGTCATTATTTCTAAATTGTTGAAAGAAAAAAACGCATAAATATATTTTTCGACTTCGCAAAAAAACTGGTTATTTCATTCTTTGACTTTAGTTCTTGAATTTTAGATTTAAGGGTAGTTTCTCCCATTTAAAAGAAACAGGGGTGGTGGAGCAATTTTGACATTATTTCTGAGAGGTTAAAGGAAGAAAACGCATAAATATATTCTTCTACTCCTAAGAAAACCGGTTATTTCATATTTTTTTACTTTAGTTCTTGAATTTTAGATTTAAGGGTAGTTTCTCCCATTTAAAAAAACAGGGGTGGTGGAGCAATTTTGACAATATTTCTGAGTGGTTGAAGGAAGAAAACGCATAAATATATTCTTCTACTTCGCAAAAAAGTGGTTATTTCATTCTTTGACTTTAGTTCTTGAATTTTAGATTTAAGGGTAGTTTCTCCTATTTAAAAAAACAGGGGTGGTGGAGCAATTTTGACATTATTTGAGTTGTTGAAAGAAGAAAACGCACAAATATATTCTTCTACTCCGAAGAAAGCCGTGTTTTTATTTTTTTTTACTTTAATTCTTGAATTTTAGACTTAAGGGTAGTTTTTTCGATTTAAAAAAAACAGAGGGTGCTGGAGCAATTCTGACTTCATATTCGTATTCAGGGGGCCAAAATACTATAAGACATGTAGGTCTTGTTCAATGAACAGACAACTTTTTTTTTGTGTGCCTGTGATTGTAATCATGCCTAAATTAAAAAAATTTAACATTTTTAGGTATAAAATAATTTTTTAATAAACATTAATAAAAATTTAGTTTTCTAAACATTATTCAAAAGTAGACGAAAGAACAAAGTTTTGTCCTCTTGATGTAATTTTTCTAAATTCAATAGATTAAGTTATAGATAATTAAAAATAAGTATACTTAGATTTCTTTGAATAATTTTTTAACACAATTAAATTTTTCAAATATGTAGAATAGAAACCTTTTTGAATAGTTGAAATTGTGCAAAATTTAATTGAAAATAATTAATTTATTTCAAGTATTTTGTTACAATTTTTTGAAGAATTTTAATTGCAAATTTTGAAAATAATTGAATTACCAAAAATTTAAAAAAAATTTTTAAAGGTAAATTAGGATATAAGAATTATTTTAAGAAATTCAATTATTTTCGAAAAATAACATTATAATATTTTTAAAAACTAATATTATTAGAATTTTTTTATAGTAATTTTTTAAGATTTAATTATCTTCGAATAATGTAAATAAACATTTATGAAAATTTACTTCAATAAGACGAGCGAACATGACAGCTTGGTTATCAAAACAAAAAGAAAATCGTTTTTTGTTCGTTTCTCGGATCGTGTTGCTCGAATGAAACACTACTGTAAGTGTAATTTTCAACTGACTTTTAGTAAAATTATTTGTTTGACAGAAATTTACAATATTAATAAATAAATCACAATAAAATAATAATCAGTGAAGAATGACTGATATTTTAGTACTTTTCAACTGATTTTCAGTAAAATTCCACTGATTATGAATCCAAAGTCACTTTTTAAAAATACAAAATGGCGAATCCAGGATAGCGGACGAAAATGAAAGGTTTAGTAAGAGAATACGTAAAAATAACATTTCGTATAATGTACAATGACATTTTTTGTAAATGTCACTTCATAATTTTTGTCTTATTACACAATGATTTTAAATAAAATAATTTATATTTTTATAAATATTAATAATTTTTTACATTTTCTAACCACTATAAGGTTTTAATTTTGTAAATGTTCAAATTCTGGTTTAGAAAGAAAAATTTATATTATTATACAACTATATTGTCTAGACTTGCAAAAACCCAAAGTCTAGACTTTGTTGTAACAATATTGTTACAATATATATTGTAACAATATTGGTGACGGTGACATGCGTAAGAATAGTGCAGTAAAAATTTCAAAAAAACACCCTGATCATTACCTACAGAAAATTCTATTAGTAAGAAAAGAATGGACGTATCTTCGCCCTTTTCTTACTAATTATTCAGAGAATCAGGCTAACATTCAAAATCTAACCTTCTAAGTTTAGTTATTTCAAAAAAATTATTTTATTGATGCAAATAAATATTTATTTTAATTAAAAACTATGCATTATTTAATCAAGTAATTTTTATAATTGATTTAAAGCAATATTTATTAAATTAAATTATTCTATTTAATTGACTTAAGTAATTTGTATTTGGTTTAAATAACTATTTAATAGATACCATAAATTAAAATATTTATGTCCAGTAAATATTTACTTAGTTCAAATAAAAAAAAAAAATAAGTAAAAACTAATAAGTTTAAATACAACCGAACGAGCGTTAGCGAGTGAGGTATATGTTGCTAGTTTTTAATAAAATTTTAATAAAGTTCTGTTGAGAATTTTCAAATGCATTTGTTTACAATTCAATTTTACGAAATTTCAATTTATCGGAAATTCTTAAATTAAATATACATTTGAAAATAAAAACTTGAAATAATTTTTAAAAATTTCAATTAATCTTTTTGAAAAAAATTAGTTCCATAGAATTGTTAATTAAATGTATAAAAAATTCAAATTTTCAAAGATTTTAATTTGAAACTTTTACAAAATTCAATTATTTCTAAATATTGCCATTATTAGAAACTTCTCCAAAATTCAATTATTATCTAAAACTTTTACTGAAATTAATTTTTAAATCAATCTTTTTTAGAAAATTCTACGAGAATTCAATTATTTAAATAAAAACAGATAATTTATTGAATAATTGAATATTTCTTAAAATTGAAATCTTATACATAATTTTATCAATAAATTTTTAATAAATTGAATTCTTTCGACGAATTTTAATAACATTTTTAATAATAATGACATTTTTCAAGAAATTCGATTAAAATTGTATTAAAAAGTAATTGAAATTCTATTAAAATTGCTTTTAAATAATTCAATTCTTTTGGGAAATTTTATTAAAATAATAACTATAAATAATAATATTAAAAAAATTTTTGAAAATAATTGTTGCAATGGATTTTATTAAAATTTTTGAAAATAATTAAATTCTTGTGATGAATATTGTTATTTATGATAAATAAATCCCTGAAAAGAATTTAAAAATTTTATTAAAATAGTAGAAAATTGAAAATCATTGAATTAAGAAAAGTTTTTGAAATTAATTGAATTTTGCAATGAATTTTATTAAAATTTCTAAAGTAAATTGAATTTTGTCGAAAAATTTTGCTATTCATTTATAAAGATAGTTGAAATGTTGACAATTTCTTATGATTTTTTGAAAGTAATTGGATTTCTGCAAAGAATATGTTATTAATTTTGAAAATAATTCTTGAGATGAATATTGTTATTTATGAAAATAATTGAATTTTATTAAAATTCCTGAATAAAATTGAAGTTTGTCGAAGAATTTTGATATTTATAAAGATAATTGAAATGCTGACGAGAACTTTTTTAAAATTTTCTATAATAATTGAATTTCTGGAAGGAATTTTAATATTTATTAAGATTGCGTTAAAATAAATTATTGTCAGAGATAGAAAAAATTTAATGTTTTTTTAGAATTCGTGGTAATTTCATAATTTGAGTTAAACACAAAAATTGAGAATATTGTTATAAATTCTAAATATTTAATTTTTTCCAGTACTTTTAATAAAATTCCCTGATCTGTGGCAACCCTGAATTTGTAATATTATTTTATTATAAATCATGAAAAAATACCTGTATATTTTCGATTTGTGAAACAATATTTTTTAAAGAAAAACAGAAAAACAAAAGCATACACAGAAAGTAACTTCAAACTGCGGACAGAATGAATGAAAGAATACGGAGATTAATATATATTTTTTTAAAATAGAGAAAAAAACAAAGTACCTCGGATTTTTTGACGTCATCAATCATTGCAAGTAAGGAGACGTTCTTTTGTTCAAGAATACTGTTTCTATTTTGTTCCTCTCTGACTTTCAATTGTAAACTTTCCTTCTCCTGACGAAGTACGGTTAATTCTGCTTCACAAGTATCAAGAGCTTTGTGAATAACTGCCATTTCAGTCCTCACCTCGCCGCCTTTTAACCTCTCTTTATTCAATTCTTGTTGAACATTCTTCAAGATTTCTTCAGTGCGGTGATTCTTTTCCAATAGTTTATTGCAGTCTTCTTTCATCTGATCGTATCTTTTCTCAGCTTGTTGGACCAATAGTTTGTAATTCTCCAATTCATCTGCGTGGCTTTTCAGAATGTCCACCTTCTCTTTGACCAGGCCATCGCTTTTCTCTTTATAGCCTGACGCTAAATCCAAAGTTTTCGACAATTCCCCCTCAAGTCTTTTAATTTGACTTTGAAATTCACTAATTTCCGCCTGATGTTTCTCCGTCGCTGTTTTAATTGATTGCTGTAAATTATTATAATCTAATTCAAGTGTTTGCCATCGTTCCTTCAATTTCATCCACGATGATTGAAATTGTGATATCACTAAATTCTTTTCATTATCAACTCGTATTGCGACAGCAACCTTTTCCTGTTGCTCGAGTAATCGTTTTTGCAATTCTTGAATTAGAAATTCGCAATGCTGTGAACAACAAAATTTGGTATTTTTATATAAAGCTACAAAATTCTTTGTATTTTAATAATTTTTTGAAATATTTTTTACCGTTTGATTTTTTATACAGAAAATTAAAAAAAATATAAATTTTATAAAATAGAATTTTAATTAAAAAGAAAAAGAATTTTAAAGAAAAAGTAGAGGAATATTTCGAAAAATTTCAATACTGAGAATTTAGGATTGTAAAATCAATTTTGTATTAATTCACCTCTCTTCGAAATTTCTCCTCTTCCAATTTAATCCTAAGCATTTCTTCCGAAGATTTATTTGTATTTGTGTCCCAAAAGTCGGAAAGTGTAAATAGTCTCTGCGTTTTCCTAGATGACAAAAATTTAATTCTATTTTTAAAAATGAAATTATTTTCAATGCTGTATTGTTTTTTAAATTATTTTAAATTAATACTAAAAGAATATGGTAACTAAAAATAAAACATAAATAACTAAATTAATATCAAAATAAATAAAAAAATTAATTTTAATTTAGTAAATACCTAATTTACTTAAATAATAATTTTAATGAAAAAAATTTGTAAAAATGGAAAAAATTGTAAATACAATAAATAATCATGAAATATATATTACGAAAAAAACTACTAGGATTATAGTCCATTTTTTAAGGAGGAAAAGGACAGACAGTCAAAGCAAAAGTTTTTAATTCACCCCATATTTTCTCTTTTTAATAAAAAAGAAATTTATAATTTAAAACTTTTGCAGGAAAAATTAAAACAACTAATTTTTTTATTATCACCTTGAATAATTGAAAATTGACATTGAATAAATATTAAAAATTTTACTCAATAAAAATTGACAAAAGTTTTAGAATATGTGAGTAAAATTGGTTTTTAATCACCATTCTTTTTAATCTTTATCCAATTTCATTTTTTAACTGTTCCTTAAGTTTTTAACGTGCAAATATACGACGATATTTTTTACTACTTTTTTCCATTTCAATTTTAATAAAAGATATTGTTTTTCTTCACTTAACTTTTTATTTCAGTAAAATAGTTTTCTTTAATATAAGATAGTAAAAATAAATAAATCCTAATAAATGGAATATGTATTATTTTTTTCTTTAAATTCAATTTTTATTCAATTAATACTAATAATAAATAAAAAAATTTAAATAACAATAAAATAAAACTGTAATATAAAAATAAATTAAGAAAATGTGCTCTTAAAAATTTTGAACGATCAAATGAACGAAATATTTGTTATTAAAAATATTTTCATGAATTATCCACTGACTGCATTGAAGATTAAAAATTTTAATTTTATATTTAAAAACTTTATAATTACTTTTTTTGACAGTAATGCAAAATTATAGTAGGAAATATTTAATTTGAACAAAAAATAAATAAATTTCCTTCATGTGAACGTTCAGAACTTTAGGGTCATTAAAAAATAAATAAAAAAATTTTTAGTGTTAATTTTCAATTTTTATCGACTAAAATATAAATTACGTAAAATTTCAAATAAACTGAATTTCAATACAATTAAAACTTTAATCGATTAAAATTTCAGGCCTCGGATCGACTTTAACGAGCAAAAAAATCGCTTTAGTAGATTAAAAATATAGAAAAAAAGTCGAAAAAGTCTCTAAATCAATTATATATATTAAATTCGATTTTTTACAATAATTGAAACTGTCTATTTTTCTTTTTACAGATATTAAGGTAGAATATTTTCAAAAAATTTTAAAAAAGAAATTCTTAAAATTAATTTGTTTTAAATGTTTCTAAATAATTTTAGAAAGACAATATTTTTACAATATATTACATACAATTAAAATATATCTAGAAAATTGAAGTTTGTTAAAATCTTATAAAAAATAATTGAAATTTGGTAAAATCTTTGAAAAATAATTGAAATTTGATAAAATATTTTCAAAATAATTGAGTTTTTAAAAAAATATAAAAAAAAATAATCAAATTTTTGCAGAATTTTGATTATAAATTCGATTGAATTCTAAAATTCTTGTAAAATTTTTGTATAATTTAAAAAAAACTAATTAATTTTTTTAAGAATTTTAATTACAAATTTTGAATATGATTATTTTCTCCAAAATGTCAAAAATGATTCTAAAAAATTTGAATATTATTTTTTGTATGTATTTGACTTTTCAAAAATATGTAACTAAAAATATTGAAAATAATTGAATTTTAAAAAATTTAGAATGAAAAAATTCTGAGAATTAGTCTTTTTCAAAAATATTTTAATATTATTTTTACAATCTAATTTACATTAATTTTCTTTTTTATTAAATTTACACTTCAAAATTTTTCATTAACATTTTTGAGAATTGAATTATTTCCAAAATTTTTAATTAAAATTCTTTAAAAGTTAATTTTTAATTATTCAAAATCTGTTTAATATTGTATATTTCAAAAATTTAATTATAAAAATTATTCAAAAATAACTTTTCAAAGATTTGTCTATAGTTATAATTTTCACACCATAAAAATATAAATAATTTGCATTTTATACTAAAAATGTGGTATTTTGTTGCAAAATTTGGAAGAAAAGTCGAAAAAGTCGCAATTTTTTAATATAAGTCGATAAAAGTTGCATTATTCGAAAATAGTCGAAGAATTCATAATATCCGAGGCCTGAAATTTGTATAAATTGAGAATCATAAAATTGAATATTTAAATCAATAGAAAAAATCTGAATTTAGTTAAAAAGTTGTATCACTTGAAATTTGCTTTTAAAATCTTTATTCGTTCGACTGAAATTTGAATCAAGATATGGACCAATTTTCAGAATAGATAAAACAGATGAGAAATGATGACAAACAGTGATGCCTGTAAATAATTTAATATTATTAATAATTTTAATGAAAAAAGAATACTTTACTTAATAAATTAATAAGAAAAGAATAATTATTGAATAATTTTTGAAATTATTGAAAAAATAAATGATAAAAATCTAAAAATAATTTACGAACCTTTCCGTATTGGTAGACGCATTATTTGTACTTTTTGTCCTCGTTGAAGAATGCGTATCATCCTTATTACTTTCGTCGTAACCATGTAATTGTCTTCCAAAAATATCAAAACCATTAGCAGGCGGTTCTGGTATTTTAAAAGGATTTAAATTAAGATTTTTCACGTCATTATTAATATCCTGTAAATTTTCTAAACTGATAAAATTTTTATATTTCTCCTGTAAAGCCTCATCATTTTGTTTAAATTGAACGGACAATCGTAATTTTTCGGTATCTTTTGATTGTCCATTTCCAGTGAGTACTGGCAATGATTGTGTATGTAAATGATCGGTTTTTGCTTCTGATTTAACAGATTTTTTTTCAACACCATTATTCGATATTTCCGTGTGTCCCTTTGTTTCCTTCCAATTTTGATCCGTATCCCAATCCTTATAGTCGGCGAGCATTTTTTCAGTTTGAATAAATTGCAGTGTCTCATCGAATGGCACTGAGAGATCTAATAATTTATCATTAATTTGTTTACTTGGACTAGTTTGTAACAATGAATCGTAAAAGGAGAGTTCCTTTTCATCTTTATCGAAATTTAATCTCTTATGTGGCGTTGAATGTCGATGATTTCCAACTGATCGAAAATGATCGTGATTTAATTTTTGATTTTGTGATAATGATGACGATGATTCTGTGTTACTAATTCTTTTCGCCAATTCTAATTCCGTTGCTTCCATTTCTTGCAAAAGTTCATCAACTTGCGAGAGATTCATGTCCTTGATTTGTTTTACCTTGGCATAGGCTTGTCCTAATTGACAAGATGAATTGCTTGTTGATAATGATTTTAATGATTTCTGATGTGTTTTAGTATTTGAAGCATTACCAGATGATATTAAACAATCGTGCGTTATTAATGAGTTGTTATTATTGCCCTTTTTTGGAGAACGATTTGCATGCATTAATCCTGTATTTTGTGAAGCGGAGCGTTTCATTGAAGCTTCTGACATTAAATCAGCATGCTTTGTTCGTGAGTGAGTGTTAGAATTAATTAAATGATTATTATTGTTAGCAAGACGTTCACAAATGATATTTCTTGAATTAAACAGAATATCGTTAGTGCGATTATTATTTGATGATGAGAATAATGTTCTTGGTGTTGATGGCACCGAAGAACTTGTACGCGGCTTATCGGGACTATTTTCTAAACTTGAATTTTGACTTACGGAAAATTTGGTTTTAGGAAGATGCCGCCTACGACTTATGGGACTCGAATAGGAAGCGTGTCTTGGAAGATCTAGAGAATTATTGAGCGATGTATCCAAACTGTTGTCCTTTGATTCAATGGCGGAAACCCTATTTTCAAGAGATTGTAAATGTCCAATTAATTCCGAAACAACACCAGGTTTTGTACGAGATGAATTATCCTCATCAGATTCAGAGGAGGGGACAATAAATAAATCCGGGGGAATTAAAAGTAAAACATCCGTATCATCAGAGTCACTCATTATACACACACTTTTCTCTCATTATTCTAAATCAGTTATTATTAATTCAAAAGAAAAGAAAAAAAACACAGATTTAATACTTGATAATAAATTCACTTTCTTTCTTTACTAAAAAAAATATTCTAATTAAAAGTTTGTATTTTTAGGTTAAGTTAAACTGCATAATACTTGTTTTCGAGGAACATACATCTTCTATTTACACAGTACGAGAAAAATATTCAGGTTTCTTTCTGTCTTGATATTTCAACTGTAAAAATTAACACTTAACAACGAGGTAATGATTAAACAATGTTAGAAACAAGTGTAAACAAACGACACAAACATGACGCGTTTTAAAACACATAACCTAACCGTTTTTTGCCGTGTGTGAGTGTGTATGTGGAATTATCGCATCCTAGCGCCGGCGTCACAGCTGTCAATTTTCTTTCCCCTTTTCAACTGCACAGAGACATCTCTAGAGTTTTACCGGGACAATCAAGTCGATTCTTATGCTTCATATGGTAACAGTATCTACTTTGACATTAAACACATAATCCTGCAACCTGTCATAGTGTCATGTCACTTTACATACTGAAAAAGTCATTCAACAGGGGCAATTATATATCGTATATTTTTTATAGAAAAATACTAAAATTAAAAATAATTTTAATTTATTTATTAAGTAATAATAAATTTAAATTTATTTATAATAAATTATATAAAATTTTATTTTTAATTATATAAAAATTAATTATTATATTTATTATTATAATAATTGCAGGGCTCGAACTAGGTCCGTAAATCCCGTAAAAGTCCATAACTTTGCTTAAAGTCTGTAAAAGTCCGTTTTTTTTTAAAAAAGGTCCGTAAAGTCCGTAAATTGTACGATATAATTTTGATAATTTTAGAGAATATACAAATGATTGTAGGAATTCAATTATTTTCAAAAGTAATAAAATTCTTGGCAAAAATTCAAATATGCTCAAAATTATGTTAAATTCTTCTCTGAAATTTAATTATTATAAAAAATTTTAATAAAATTCTTGGAAAAATTTCAAATATTTTCAAAAATTTTCCTCAATTCAATGATTTCTAATAGGTATTTACTATTCTAATAAAATTTTCCAAAAGAATTCAATTATTTAAATAAAAATGTAATAAAATTCTACATAAACGTTTAATTATTTTAAAAAAATAATAAAAATTTCACAGGAATTTCATTATTTACAAATCTCTTCACAATCATTCAATTATTTTCATAAATAATAACATTTTTACAGGGATTCAATTATTTTGGTGAATAATAAAATTATTATTACGAATTCAATTATTTTGATAAATAATAAAACCCATTGGAGAATTTCAATTATTTTTAATATACAATTTTAATTGAATTCCTCGAAAAAATGTAATTATTCTTAAAAATTTTATTAAAATTCGTCAAAAGAATTTAATTATTTAAAAATTTATTGATAAAATTCTTTATGAGAATTCAATTTTAAAAAACATGCAATTATTCAATAAATTGTTTTTTTGTATATTTAAATAATTGAATTCTGGTTGAATTTTCTAATAAAAATTAAATTAAAAATGGATTTTATTTAAATTTTAAATTATAATTGAATATTAAAAGCATTAGAGCATAAATTTTCAGAAATAATTGAATTTTGTAAAGGTTTTAGATTAAAATCTTTGAAAAATTTAAAATTTTTATATTTTTAACTAACAATTCTGTGGAATTAATATTTTTTTAAGAAAGTTTAATACCTAATGAAAATAATTGAATTATTGTGCAGAAATTTATATAAAATTTGTGAATAATTGACTTCCTTTGAAATTCTTATTATTTATGAAAATAATTAAATGTTTGCGTAGAATTTTATTAAACTTTTTTTGAAATAATTGAATTCTTTTGGAAAATTTTATTAAAATAAGATAATATTGAAAATCATTGAATTGAAGAAAAGTTTTGAAAATAAATGAAATTTTGTCAAGAATTTTATTAAAATTTTTGTAATTAATTGAATTTCAGAGAAAACTTTTATTAATTATAAAATTTAATTGAAATTTGGAAAAGAATTTTTAAAAATTGAATTTTTGCAATCATTTGTAACTTCTCCAAAGTCATTTTTTTAGTGTTTTTAACTAAAATTCTTCTATAAATTAATTATTTTAATAATTAATATTAAATATATATTAAAAAATTTAACTAATTTCAGAAGAATTCGAATTATTAAAATTTTTCTAAAATCTACGTTCTTTAAAATTTTTAATTAAATTCATTGAAAATTGAAATTTTAAAAAATTTCAAATTAAAACCTTTTAAAGTTTATCTATTTATGAAAATTGTAAACGTAATTCTTTTAAAATTTAGTTAATTTTGAAATATTTCAGTAAATTATATAAATTTTTTTTATTGATCTTTTCTGTGGACTTAAATTTATATAATTTATACTGATGGACGTAAAAAACAATGACTAATATTTCATTAAAATTATTCATTAAATAATATATTTAATTCAAAAATAATTTTTGGTTGATTTTAAATTATCTTAACTTTTAAGTTTGAATCAAACATAAAATTTTTAAACATATTTTTTGTTTCAACCAAAATAGAATATATGTTTAAATGAAACATAATTATTCCAACAAATAATTAATATCTATACTATTATATTATTAATGTTTTATGGATATAGAAAAATAAATGTAAAATTATACAGCAAAGATTTTTTGTTTATTTTCAAAATACAAAAAGTACTTTTGATACGTTTATGTGGAAAAAGAACATTTTTCTCACATTTACCTGAAAATGTCTTCACGTGATGTGGGTGAGATTTCACGCACCTCTAGAAGTAAAAAAAAATTTCCGACTGTAAAAGAATTTCACTGAAAAAGAAACTTAAGATCCTTCCTCTTAGACATTTGGACTCTTAAAATATTTTTTTTTTTTTTTTTTTTTTTTTTTTTTTAAGGTTGATGTAATATGGAAATTTTGAAATATTGCTTTTTTACTGTCACATTCAATTTTTAAGAACCTAATGCAAAACGTATATAAAGTACGAGTGTTTATTTTGACGCAAATCTTTTTCCTTTTTTTTTTCTTCTTTCTATATAACGAAAAAAAGTTTGGTTCACAAGAAAGTTTTTCAATACATAAAATACGTAATAATGTACTAATAATGTTACAAGTAATCGTCAGTGTCGGCAACTGTGATCGATATTGCCAAAGGATCTTTGAAGGATACCACTTGAGTTTCTGCTAGACGAGCAGTCTGTGAGAAATAACTTCGTTGCCAGAAATTTAACAAGAAACGATCAATAAACCAGATTGGTGAAATTGTACGCGAAATTTTGTAATAAAATGTTGATTTTAGAAAACATTTTGAATGGAAAAATTGGACAAGTGCGAGTTGTGCTTGCACTGAAATGGCGGGTTCCGTACACTAATGTTAAAATCATTTGGTACAAAAAAGAAAAAAAATTAAAAACAAAAAAAATTTTTTTTTACATTTCTCTTCAATAATTTTCTTAAATAAATTTTTTGTGATCAGTCTGTAAAGAGACACTAGTATACCAATTTTTTAATAATTAGGGCAAATAATGTAAAAATTAGGAGAAAAAACGTTTTTTTTTTAATTTTTAATTTTTTCCTTGACAACGACTATCACCTCCAATCACATTCGCTATATTTTTCGTGTAATCAGGGAAAGTATTTAAAAATACGGACTTTAAGGACCAAAAATGAAAAATTACGGACCATTTACGGACCAATTGCTGACAAAAATATAACTAGTCAGAGTCAAATAAGAGAACATTTTACTTAAAACTATAAATTAAATTTTTCATAACGCTATAAAATTATTATTTTCAAGAATTTTTAGCTAAAATTCTTCTTAAAATCGATTATTTTTAATAATTTTCGAAAAATTCTTTGACAATTTTCAAATCCATTTGTTTACAATATTCAATTTTACGAAATTTCAAATAATATAAAAATAATCCGCAATTAAACTTTCTCAAAAAAAAATTAATTCCACAGAATTGATAGTTAAAAATATGAAAAATCGAAATTTTCGAAGATTTTAATCTGAAGAGATTTATAAAAAAATCTGTAAATAATGAAATTCCTGTTAAATTTTTATTTTTTTTTTGAAAATAATTAAATGTTTGTGTAGAATTTTATTTAATTTTTTTTTAAATAATTGAATTCATTTGGAAAATTTTATTAGAATAGTAAATATTACTATTCTAATAAAATTTTCCAAAAGATTTCAATTATTTAAAAAAAAAATTTAATAAAATTCTACACAAACATTTAATTATTTTCAAAAAATAATAAATTGAGGAAAATTTTTTAAAATAATTGAAATTTTGCCAAGAATTTTATTAAAATTTTTGAAAATAATTGAATTTTGGAGAAGAATTTAATTATTTCTAAAGATAATTGAAATGTTGACGAGAATTTTTAAAAATTTTTGAACTTAATTGAATTTTTGCCAAGAATTATTTTACTTTTGAAAATAATTGAATTCCTACAATCATTTGTAATTTCTCTAAAATTATCCAAATTATATCGTACAATTTACGGACTTTACAGACCTTTTTCAATCAAATTACGGACTTTACGGACCTTTTTTAAAAAAACGGACTTTTACGGACTTTAAGCAAAGTTTACTGACTTTTACGGGTTTTAAGGACCTAGTTCGAGGCCTGGAAATTGGCTATGGACGCAAGAGTCTCACCAATCCTAAAAATGACAAAAATACATTTCTGGGTTAAAAAATGGTCCAAAAAAATTAATTTAGTCATATTTAAAATTGTATGGGTCGCTGAATACGAATTTAATCTCAGATTTTTAAAATTAAAAATGTCGGATCCAATATGGCGACAAAAGTTTCTTCAGTTTAGCAACTGTAAACATCCTCGATTAACGAGTTTTCAGCAACTTCTGGATAATTTGAAAAATTTGTTGTTGCTAAATAAGATCTGACAATTTGAATCTTTTAAATCTAGGAATAAATTTAAATTCAGTGACCCTAAAAATTACCCGAATAAACATTATTAGACAAATACGTTAATTTTTAAGATTTTTGGTCGACATATTGGATCCACCATTTTAAATTTTCAAAATCAGACATTACATTCGGATTCAGCGTCCTCAAAAACCCATGAGTAACGTATTTTAAACGAAATGCATCAATTTAAAATTTTCCGTCATATTAGGTCGTCATTTTGAATTTTTAAATTGACATCAAATTTTAATGTACCAACACTAAAACTACCTGAGAAATGGGTTTGAGGGAAATCTGTAATTTAAAAATCTTTTGGTTGTCATATTAGATCTTCCATTTTGAATTTTTCATATCTGACATCAGATTCGGAATCAGCAACCTTAATTACTTAAGAATTGGT